TTCTCGAGTGGCAGCCTCGTACCGGTAGGCGAAGTGTAGGGCGTCCCCCCACGAGATGGAGTGACGACCTGGTAAGACATGCAGGAAGTCGATGGATGCAGGTGGCTCAGGACCGTGCTTTGTGGCATTCTTTGGGGGAGGCCTATGTTCAGCAGTGGACTTGTGAAGGGCTGTAATGATGAATTCTACTGATTTTTAATTCCCAACGTTTCATCACGAGGGAACGGGGACTAAAATTGAACGCGATAAAATCAATAAAAATAGTTTCATTCGCGTAAAAATATGAAATAGTCATATTTCCTCTTTTTTGTTAAACTGTACAACATCAAAACAATTATGATAAAGTTACAACATTTTCCTCAAACGAGCACAAAACGTCTAATCTAACTACAGCAGCTCCGCACCGCACCGCAAATATTCAGACGTGCACATGTTAGAGACCACGCGCTGAGTACTTGATCAAACAACTGGCTCACGTGAATTTACATATTTATTAATTATATACAGCTTTCATTGAGATATAATATAATTATAATAATTTATTAGACACACAGTTTGATAAAAATAAGTCTTATGTATAACATAAATATATATTCCGTGTGTAGTGGCGGTGTAAGAAAATCACCATCGTCTCGTGAGTGTCGAAAGGCGACAGAAGAAAACAAATCCGTAGATTGCACAGGGAGGACGACTCACTGGCCCATGCCGCAAAGGAGAAAGCCTCTCCTCTGCTGGGCTCTTCCTTTGCGTCCAACTCGACTCTCGGTGACGGGGGGAACACACCGCCGACCATCCCGCGATGTGAGTGCTCCATGCCGGATGTGCGGTTCTCGCAGAGCACTCCTTTCCCTTGACATCCACAAGTCGAGTGGGCGTGACGGAATCCCCCCAATTGTGCTGAGGACGTGTGCTCCGAAGTTGGCACCGGTTCTAACTCGTCTTTTCCGGTACTCCCAATCCCTAGGCGTAGTCCCGAAATCATGGAAGATGGCTTTTGTGCACCCGATCCGTGTATGAAGTCGAGTCTTTGCTGAACAAAGTCTCGGATTGGGGGCGAATAAATCTAGTCCATTTTAATCCTCAGAAGACACAAGTTTGCGCGTTTACCGCTAGAAAGAACCCTGTATCTCCTCAGTTTCAAGGCACTCCCCTTGTTGCTTCAGCCAGTATCGGAATCCTCGACGTCGACATATCGAGTGAAGGCCAAATTGGTCTCTAATAAGCTTGGCGTCCTCAGCAGAACGGGCCAGTATTTCATGCCGGCACACCGCCTGCTACTTTACAAGGCGCAAGTTCAGCCTCACATGGAATAGTGTTCCCATATCTGAGCTGGGGCTCCCCAATGCCAGCTCCTTCCACTTGACCGCATCCAGCGCAGAGCGGCTCGAATCGTCGACGAACGAGTCCTTTTCGATCGGCTCGATTCACTGGCGCTGCGAAGAGATGTTGCATCCCTTTGCATTTTCTTTCGCATTTACTTGTGCTCTGAGGAATTGTTTGGATTAATCCCAGCCGCCAAATTTCACGAACGCAAATCGCGGCAAAACTCCCGATACCATCCACACCATCTGGATGCTTGGCGTCCACCACTGTACGTTTCACTAGGAGTTTTCTTACGCGCACAACCTCTCTGTGGACTAGCTTACCACCGGCGATTTTTCCAAACCGATACGAGTTAGGGACCTTCAAGAAAAGAGCTTTAGTCCTATTTAAAAGGCCGGCAACGCACCTGCGATTCCCTTGATATTGCAGTGCCGTGTGCTCGTTTGCCCCCTCTCCTATAAAAAAAAGATGGGCAGCAGTGTCTTCAGCAGAGTGGCAACTATGGCAAATATCCCCCCGATGAGGCAGTCTATGAGAGAAACCTTTCAGCAGTGGACTTTAATAGGCTGTAAGGATAAAGGTATTTCAAAGAAGATAGTGTTTACGTTTAGGTAACATTATATAACCACTAGATAAAACATAAAACATGTATTAATTTGTTATTCAGAAAAAGATAATATGAGGAGTTTGAATGAATTTCTACTATGTTTGATTTCTATGAAACAGACATCCACCTTTGTACTGCATTCCGTGTCACCCATGAGGAGGTAAAATTAAAATGCACTCAAAGCCCGTTTTTTACTTTTTTGTCTGAAATAAATTATTTTATTTTATTTTTAAGCACTTTTGTGAGTTGGCAACAGATGTCTACAGACACTAAAACAGGACTAAATAGCCATCTTTTGGGCTAACATCTTTTTTTTTATAGAATATGGGTGACAATTGAGCACACAGTCCACCTAATGGAAAGCTAATACTGAGGCCCATAGACATGTATCTTTATTCTCAATTAAGAATCAAAATGCAGATGCGTTTTCACCCCTGAGGATGAAGGTGGAAAGCCTTGTTTCCAGTACAAAAGAGAAAAAAAAGAGACTCCAGTTCTCTACACTCACTATATGAAACACAGCAGCAATAAGCTTTATCATCTAGGACCTCATGATAGGAGTTTTTTTTTTTATAGAATATGGGTGACAAACGAGCACACAGTCCACATGATGTTAAGTGGTTGCTGTGGCCCATAGACATCTACATCTATCTCCGTTTGCTAATTAAAATGCAGATGCATTCTCAGCCGTGAGAACTAAGATAGAATGCCTCTTTTCCAGTAAAATGGGTCTCCGGTTCTCTACACTCACCATATGAAACACAGCAGCATTAAGCTGCTATTTTATGCTGGTATTCTGTGAGAGCGTGGTCCTTCCCCGGTCGAGCCGACCCATTCGTGCTACAATTATACTATTAATATAGCTGCAGCGTGACTCTACCATGTGGAAAGTGGTAGGAGTGGTTGTAATCTCTTAATATAACGCTGGTGCTTTGTTGAATATTGGCAATCTTGCATTGGCAAAATTTTCAGATTTCAACGACAATCTTTATTAACATTATTAATGCGAAAATTATTTTTTTAGGGTTTATTACTTTAAAGAGAAAAATAGAAACCTTATAGAATCACTTTGTTACCTATTCAGCGGTCTACTCAGTCTGTAAGACCCTTTATCTCAAAAAAATTATTAACAAATTAATGTTATTACTTATTATACAATATATTTGTAGCATATTCATGGTATGGTCACTCTCATAAAACTAACATTAAATGGATGTGTTAAAGAATTAATAAACCTTGACAAAAGAAAAAACTGAACATTACATAATGCATGATATTTGTAGTAAACAGTATGTAATAATAAGACAATGATATTTCAAAATATCATTGTATAATTATGGATATAGCATATAATAAGAAATAATGGAAAAAAATCTCATCTAAAGACATCACAAGCTACATGTCCTTTGAATTGCCATTATCATTTATCAGCAGAATAAAAATAACATAGGGATTAAGTTAACTAAGAGTAAAGTAATTAGGTTTATTCACTCCAATAATGATATTGTGATACCAATTTCAACCCTGGCAACAACTTACAATGGTATTCAATGTTGTTAACTACAAAGGTGTCACTCAAACTCATCAGCAGCACTTGGACTCATTTTTATGTCAGAAATAATGCCTATGTACAAACCTACTAAATTTCAAGGAAGGGTTTGAAAATATACAAAAAATGTATGTACACTGGCATATTTTGCAGAGAGGGTGAAATGTGTTGATGGACTTCTCTTATAGGATAAGGGTAACAAACGAGAACACAGTCCACCTGACAGTAAGTGGATGCTGTGGCCTATAGACAGCTACATCTATCCTCAATTAAGAATCAAAAGCAGATGCTTTGTCACCCCTGTGGACTAAGATATAATAGCTCATTTCCAGTAAAAAATGTCTCCAGTTCTCTACACTCACTATATGAAACACAGCAACATTAAGCTGCTATTTTTCACTGGAATTATATGAGAGTGTGGTCCTTCCCTTGTGGGGCCGACCCAATAATGCTACAACTATAATGTGGCATGGCTCTACCACAATAATTTTTTCTACCACAAGACTTTATTATGTTACCACCACAAGCCATATATTTTACTAAGTAGTGAGTAGAAAGTTTAATCAGAGGTCAGAGGTTTTTCAGAATCAGTAGTATTGGAGGAAATAACTAATATGTATTATGTTAATCTATGTTATATTATATATTTTATTTCATTCTATTGCAATACATTATCCTTATAAAACCTATTGACTACATTTAACACACACACACACACACACAATTAAAAATGTTCTTTCATTATAATAACTGGTTCATTTTAATAATATCTATCTTTCCAGACCACCATAGTTTGAAACTTAGGAAATCAATTTAGGTAGACATATTTATTTGGCAAGTATGTTGGAGAAAACGAAAAAATTAGGGAAAATGATATAGTGCATTGGAGATAAAAATTATAATATGTAATGATTAATTATAATATAAGGATACCTGTAAGGATAGAATTGAATAGATATATTTTAATCAATATAGATTATTACATAAGTGTTTGGAAGATTATTTACCATTGATTCAAGCAATACCTATATGGTGAGAACATCTAGCAAGGAAACCAACAGAAATATAGTAATTATAAAAATATTTATAATGCGGACATACTTATTAAAGAGGCACTAGTTCAAAAACTGTTTTACCTTTTATCATAGGCTATGAGATGATACATCATTAAATAGATGTAAATAATGATTTTGTGTCAAAATTAGTATGTATTACTTGATTATTCACATGCTATAAATCTATTTCATTCGGAAAGATTAGTTGACGCAACAACAAAAGGTATAAATGATTTTGTATACTTATACTCAAAATAAAAACCGGTGAGTAATTGGATCTAATGTTAATTGTTTTGCAAATAAATATTACACATTTAATTTAAAAAAAACGCTCGTGCAACATAGACTATTTTTCAAATACTTACAATTAATTAAAAATTATAAATTCACCTCGAAACGTACTTTCCTCAATACATAAAACAAACGCGAAACTTACAACTATTAAGTTCTTTGAGGTAATACTCACGGCCATCACCATTTCAAACGGATACTTGTGAACCCTGACAGGAGAAACATATTCCTGCACCATGATTGCAATCTCACTAAACTAGAGGTCTTAAATCTTAATTAAAAACGGGATTCAAAGATCCTTTACACGATATACTATTTACACGACAGTCATTCTGTTCACAGAAAACCCGTGTCTTTTTGTCTCAATAAATTAATCCAAAACGACGTCCTTTCACTCCCGTTAACACATCATGACAATTGATTGACATTTGATTTTGACAACAAAATAAATGAAAGAAACGTCAAATCAAATCTTGTACTAAAAGACTACAAGAACTACTTGTGCTCTATGGAATACGAGACAAAAACGAATCGATGACAAAACAAAAGCCACAGATATCATGAAAACTTGTTTAAATGATGACTAAGTTTGATATGTTGTCTGTGCTGTGAACTCTTTTTCGTAATTAATGTTTAGTCTGAAGTTGGTTGACAAACGTTTGAATCGATTTGTAGTATCAAAAATCGATTAACAGTCAGAACATCAATCTAAGGATAAAATATATTTATAATATCTGTTGCTCTGTAAAATTTATCTGCCAATTTGCCTAATTCTAATATTTTAAGTCGACTCAAAAGGGTAAACAATTAACTTTCTTCAAATAACATGCTACAGCTGTATAAATAGTATAGTTGTAGCACGAACGTGTCGGCTCGGCCGGGGAACTACCACGCTCTCACAGAATACCAGCGTAAAATAGCAGCTCAACACTGCTGTGTTCCGTATGGTTAGTGACGAGAACCGATGAACCTTTTTACTGGAACTTTTGACCTTAGTACTCATGGGTGACAACACAGCTGCATTTAAATTTGTAATATGTCTTAGAGACTGAAACACAGCATTGTTATAATGCGCACTGCTATTTGGCTTCAGAAATAGCTAAGACGGTAGTCTCTAACTTAACGGCCTCCTAGGCAAGAAAGAAGTCCTGTAAACTAGTACTAAAGTATATAATAGTAGCTTTTCAATTTAAAAAGTGTGCGGTTGACGAATATTTTTTTTTATTTACCCTGCAAGGACGAATAAAAATATTTATTAATACAACTATTAAGAAATGAAGTAGAAGATGAGCAGCAGCATCTTTCTGATGACAACTCAAAATCTACTGCAGTTCCCGGTATATTGTACATATTGTACTAGGAATATAATCCTTCTAATAAAAGGTACCTTAAAATACCTATCAAATGTTTAGCAAAAGGCAGGCGATTGTGATTAGTTGAACTTATGTTTAATAGATGGTAGACGTAATATCATAAATTAAAATAAACCTAGGTTTCCTCAGAATTAATCAATCCAACATTAAAACATCCACATTGTTTGCAAACAATTTATTTATTACATAAAATAAAAGCCCGCGGCCTTACCTTCTGTCATTGTCATTTATCAAATGTATTATGGGCTACAATATCTAATAGTCCCTCTTGTTATAGAGTGTAATATTTCTGTGATTAGATCTGCTAGTAAATTAGTATCTTTGACAAAGTTAATAGAAGTCATTTATATTAATTACTAGCGATCCGCCGTGACTTCACACGGGTGATTTCTGGATCTCGAAAACAGCGCCACCTACTGGGTTCAATATTGAATTTAAACCATTCAGGGACCCATTCAAACACACAAAAATATCATCAAAATTGGTCCAGCTATTTTCGAGGTTTTGCGAGACGAACGGACAGCAATTGATTTTTGTACGTAGAGATTATTCGAACTTTACAAGACCTTGTTTTAGCCAAAAGTAACCGTATACATTTACTTTTATCCATGAACATTCCGAATACCTAGTTATAGCTAACTTCGTCCTAATAAATAAAATATATTACTCGTCCTGTTATCAGATCATTAGCCACTTCGAAAAATGACCTTTACTACCTTGTACGTCAGTCTGTGAGATTTCGTAGGTCCGTCTGTCTGCAGTATTTTGGAATGAATTACCACTATTTACCAGTCAGCAGAGCTTGGCTCTTGACTGGGCTGGCTTGAGCTTTTTAATGCACCTAAACCTTTTAAATAAAATAGCCACAGGCTAACTACAAAAGTTTGTTGCTTTCGTTCTTTATTGAGGATTAGGTTCTTGCTTGAGGATGAGGTTGATATTTGGGGAATTTTTCATATCTCCCTCAAACGCTCTAAATAAATAAATATTAATTATATTTATTTTGTAGTGTTCTCGTCTGATTTGAACTTATAAATTTTATTATTATATAATTGTACAGGAAAAATTTCGGTCGACAGATTACTCCAATTTTCAGTAACCTCGTGGGCTAGGTCCAGATATTTATTAATAATTTATTTAAGATTTTTCTTACAAGAAAATTATATACAGATAATTGTAATGAGTAATAATGTCACATTTTTTCTGCCATTCTGCCAACCTTCTTAACTATATTATTTTTCTTGAGAATAGACCCGTCAGTTTTGAAATTCTGGTAAACAAATTTAAAAAGTAAGTCTTTACTTTTACTAGGTTTATATGTCAATATTAGACTAATAAAATACTTAATATTCACTACCTTTATAATTATACAATTGTATTCATAACAAAAAAGCCTTATTAAAATAAAAATAAAACAAGAGCAATCACTTCCGCAGATATTTTTCCACGTTGCTTTGTGTCTAACTTCGCGACAGTGAGTCAGTGAGTAAGCGAGCCTTCATCGAATCGAAGAGCGAATGTCGTTCTCAATAATATAAAGACTATTTCTTGATTGTGCTGGAGAATACAAAGCAAAATTCTGTCAAAATTGTGCGCGTTCGTGCCCGATGTCTAGTGCTGAAGTCGCCGATAATTCCGTTGACCCCCCGGCGAAAAAGCGGAAGCTAAATACAGGAGATACCCGTTGCAAATCTGCAGCAATGGCGAACAATGGAACGCGTGTAGAAGATGAAATCGACGAAAGTTTGTACTCTAGGCAACTTTACGTGTTGGGACACGATGCTATGCGCAGAATGGCGAGCTCTGACGTCTTGATCTCTGGTCTCGGCGGTCTCGGAGTAGAAGTCGCAAAAAACGTGATTCTTGGAGGTGTCAAGTCCGTCACCCTTCATGATGATCGCGTTTGCACTATTGCTGATTTATCGTCTCAGTTCTACTTGTCTGAGAGTTCCGTTGGCCAGAATAGAGCTTTGGCCTCATGCGAACAACTTGCTGAATTGAATCATTACGTTCCAACGACAGCTTATACTGGTCCTCTCACCGAAGAATTTTTACAAAAATTCCGGGTTGTGGTACTTACTGGAGCTTCTCGGGCAGAGCAAGAACGCGTAGCAGCTATTACTCACGCTAATAACATTGCATTAGTCATTGCTGACACTAGAGGATTATTCTCCCAAGTGTTCTGTGACTTTGGCCCTGAATTTACTGTATTAGATGTGACCGGTGAAAACCCAGTGTCTGCTATGATAGCTGACATTACTCATGAGTATGAAGCAGTTGTTACATGCTTAGATGACACTCGTCATGGGCTAGAAGATGGGGATTATGTTACCTTTAGTGAGGTTTGTATATTATTATCCTTTACACAATCACATACTAGTTATATATATATTCTAATCTTATTCAGCTTCTAATATATATAGGCTTGTATAATAAGAGCCACTAATAATTGTTCATTGTGGGAAAATGGCTTCCCCATTTTAGGAAGAACTTGCTTTAATTGCCCCACTTAGTTGGTGGTTTGGCTATTGAATTACTGTACACTCTCACATTTTGTATGCTATTCCTCATGGCTATAGACTGACAAGTCTGGATATTCCATATCCGCAATCAACAAGGTGGTCTTTCTTATGAACAGACTTCAAAAAATAGAGGAGGTTCTCCATTGACTGTTTTTTTTTTGTGTTACCTCAGAACTTTTTCTAGGTGAACCGATTTTGATGATTCTTCTTTTATTTGAAAGCTGGTGCTTCTCGTGTAGTCCCATATAAATTTGATCAAGATCTGACGAGTAATTTTTGAGTTATACTTAATAATACATATTTAATTGACTTCGACTACATTGATGATCTTCTCATTTTATTTATGTTGATTGTACAGACATTTTAATTTTACCACTTGTATGCTTTTCTATTGTCGTCTGTATCAATGAAATCTTCTCTCATAGTTGCCTGTTGCATCTTACAAAATCTAGGACAAAATGGGATGATTATTAACTTATACAGCTCCCGCACACTAAATGATACTTGAGTTGTAAAATAACAGTTAAATCTATTTTACATATGGACTTTGTTAATGTACGTTCACGCAGGCAGAACGATTATTGCTTAATAATCGAAACACATTGTATTCTTGAGGTTATAATAAGGATTATTTCACAAATAAAACTCGACATTGTCTTAGCCTACTAGCTAATTAGCTAAATTATAGACAACAAAAATAGTTATCAATTAAATACCTGTAATACATAAAAATAATAATTGTAAATGAAGAAAAAAAATTAAAGTATTAGCGTTAACATTTTTGACTAAATTGCCTGTGAATAAAAGAATAAATTGTAATTTTCATTTACAAATAAAATAAAATTGAATGTTAAGTACTCTTATGGGCTTATCTTTCCATTGACTCCCGTCGAGTTGGGGGTTGATACGTATTTTTACAGAAAAGTTACACTATTATAAGCACACACAAAGTTACAACATGCAGAAACACGTAATTTTTGAGAAAAAAGTTATTGAAAATCAATTATTCTTGCATTGTTTATATCTAATCCTACCATAAAACTGACGCCATTTTGTAATGTCATTGTCGTCAGTAGGGATGTTGATTCTTTCCGAAAAGGTTCAATTTTTAAATCGATTCAAATCGTAAGCTGATGTATCGATTCATAAAAAATCGATATCTAAAATATCTATATTTTTTGTTTGCATTTATAATGTAAATATAATTTCATTTTATGAAAAACAAGAAAGATACCATAATAAATGATCTCTTATTGAATTTTGTTTTATTTCAACAGTACCAATTAGGGCAGATAACAAATAAAATAGGTTGGGTTCAACTTATGTCAAAGAACCGATTTGATTGACCCCGACTCCACCTGGTACGAGTCTGTCCTACCCCTTGAGTGGTTTTAAAGAGCCGGAGGTGCGTAGGGGGAGCAGCCACCACCTGCTGTAACAAATCGTAGGGAGCGAGGAGGGATGCCTGCGATTTGTTACGCTAAGGCGGAGAGGCTGATCTTCCCGCAGCGCCGGCGACGTAGCAGTCTCAAAATAGATATAGAATATAGATATTTACATTATAAATGCAAACATGAAAAAAATATAGATATTTTAGAAATCGATTTTTTGGAAATCGATACATCAGCTTACAATTCGAATCTATTTAAAAAATCGATCTTTTTCGGAAAGAATCGACATCCCTACTGACAATAACAATAAAAAAATGGCGTGAGTTTTATTGTAGGATTAGATATAAACAATGCAAGAATAATTGATTTTCAATAACTTTTTTCTCAAAAATTACTTGTTTCCGCATATTGTAACTTTGTGTGTTATAATAGTGTAACTTTTCTGTAAAAATACGTATCAACCCCTAACTTGATGGGAGTCAATGGAAAGTCGTACCCTCTTATGCTATCCTATAGGTTTTGTGAAAGGTTACAAAGGGAAAATTATAAAGGAGGTGGTCGGCAACATCTTCCTGATAATAACTCTAAATAATGGAAAAACTGCAGTTCTCAACTTGCCTGCCAAGTGTGAAATTTTGTAATCTTTGGAGTAGGGGTTTCTTCAGCCGTGGACTTTTGATAGACTGTAATGAATTAACCAATGAACATAAGATGGTGCCGATGGTGATGATGGTTGTGATCTTTCCGTAGATCTAGTAAGAACTAACCAATTTTGCAACTTATAACTAATTAATTTATTATAAAAATTATTAAGCTAAATAATTCATACTCTTGCACAATGTGTTTTTTGGTCAATTATTTGATAGCTCTGTGGTACAGTGACTTAGCAATGAGTTGCAGCACTAAGGGCCATGGGTTTGAATCGCGAACGAACAAAGTCTTTGTATAGCCTACAAATAATTGTTTCAGATCTGAAAGTTTGTCGTTGTGAAATTTGTGCATGTACACTGCCCTCTGGGGTAATGTTTTTTTATAAAATGAAAAATTAAATGAAAATGGATTATGGTGCAGGAAATAAGAATAAAGTTTTGATACTATGGTTAGATTAAGTTTCTGCATAGTTGAAAACAAGAGTAAAGATTAGAAGATATTGTTGCAAATAAAACCAAAAGCATTTGAGTGACAGATATAACAATTTAACATTGATTACTTTTCACTTAAATACTCTTGTATGTTCATACACTCTTGTATGTTCTATACATGGTAGATCCATGCTGTAGCTATGCTAGCTGTACATAGCTGAAATACAAATGGGTCAACTCAATAGCAGTAGGACCACACACTCATAGAATACCAGTGTGAAACAGCAGAAGAGTTCTCTGCTGTGTTTTATATGGTGAGTTTAGAGAACTGGAGACCCTTTTTATTGGTAACGAAGCATTCCATCTCAGTTCCTCAGGGACTATGAGAATGCATCTGCATTTTGATTTTTTATTGATGATAGATGTAGATGTCTATAGGCCATAACATTCACTTACCATCAGGTGGACTCGTTGTTTTTATTTATTATTATTTAAAATTATTAACTATTCTCTAAAAAAACAACAGATGAGATGTTATAGAGGCAATAAATTCTTTACTATCATGTTAACATAATTACCATTTATGTCAAATTAAAATACAATATAATTGTTGTCAAAAGGTGATCTTTATTATCACCAATTATATGCACTAGTTATTAGTATTTGCAGAGTTAATAGCTCTAATAACAACTACTACTAAAAATAAAGTTAAAAATAATTTACTTGGCATTCTATATATCCATTGAGAACTTAGTGCTAAAGAACAAAGTGCACACAACAAGCTCTTCTTTATTTCTTTACTATCTTTATAACTTATTCCATTTATTTATAATATTTAACCACCAGATTATTGCATTTTGTGAGTGTTCATTCTAGACAATATCATTTTGGTCAGCATCAACTTTAAAAATGGTGGAGACAGAAATTCAACCATAGTTTTTTTGTATGTTATGTGACCTTTGTTAATTGTGAACCACTTGTAATGATTATGTTTTTATTATGAAGTTGTCTAAAAACTTTTATTTTATTTATTTCATTCTTTGATGCAGAATATATTATAATTCCCAAATGCACCTACTCATTGTTGTATGTAAAAGATTGTGACTCAGGAGCAGGGTTACCTTTGTGGACTTACTAGAGTACTAGAGTCCAGCTGTGGAAAATTTTTAATAGCCTATCTATCAGTTGAATTGATTAAATCATATTGTTATTGTGTGGATGAATTCACAGGATGTTTCAGTCAGGATGTTTTTTTCAGTGTTCAACATTTTGATGTTAAAAAATTGCTTAAAGTAAAAGATCTCAAAAAGTTGTAATCAACAGTTGTGTTGATAATGCCAATGGGTAAACCACAGCCCTCAATTCTTCTCATTCTCAACACCTTTGTTTCTTGTCTATATTAAGACAATATTAGGCCTGCCTTGTAGGAATGGCAGTGGTAGGTGTGGATTATATCCAGGATTGGCTGATTTATTATAGATTTCTGCCTGTTACATGTATAAATTAATGTAACAGGCAGAAAATGAAATAAAACTGGCTTAAAATAAGGTAAAACCTTTTATTGTTTTATGTTATTCTCATTATTCTACTACAATAGTCTCATAAACCTTGGAAATCAACAAAGACGTAGCAATGAGGTCTCTCAGGCTCATAAACTTAGTAAAATCAACTAAAATTTTTTTTAGTAATTCACCCTTAAGATATGAACTGTAATTAATACAGTATTAATTATTTTACTCTTAACCAGTCTCATACATATGTATTCATAAACTTTTAATCCTACTATGTCAAAAAGTGTTACCAACTCATGAATTTCAAAATATACAAATAAATCTAAAAAGTCATGATTTAAAAAAAAATCATCATGATTTGATTAAAATTAAAAAAATCATAATTTTTCCCATCCCTGATTATATCGTAATAAAGTATTTTTTCTAGTGTCATTACCTAAGGAGACAACAGAGGAATATGTTTGTATAGCCTAAACAATATTGGTTATCTTTGTAGAAAATCATCAATTCATATTCGTTGGTTTTGTAAGTTTAAGATTGGTATCAGAAGTGACTAGTGTTATATCATGCAATAGTAGATTGGTTCAAACTAACAATTTACTTTTATATGACAATAAAACTAACTATAAAATTTTTAACACCAAAATTTGTTGCTTTTATATATTTTTAAATATACAAACTAAATTCTTCAGAAGAACGGAATACAAGTGGTAAAATTAAAAATTTTGTACAACTTCAATATAAAATATTGAAGATAACTCAAAAGTATTGGTCAGACATTGATCAAATTTATGTGGGACCACATAAGAAGCAACAGCTTTCAAATAAAAAAAAATCATCGAAATTGGTTTACTCAGAAAAAAGTTATGAGGTAACACACATAAAAAAAACAGTCGAATTGAGTACCTCCTCCTTTTTGAAGTCGGTAGAAAAAGGAAAAAGGGAACATATAGTTGAATCATCTTTTTGGAGTCTGTAGAAAAGACAATATGTCTTTCTAGTGTTGAAACAGCTAGAATAGTTTATTTGTTATTTTCTTTATGTAATGTTAAATTAAAATTCTGTTAGATAATGTAACTTAGCAATGATATAAGCTTAGCAAAATGAAAGCCATAGGATCAGTTTATAATGAAAATCCTAAACAGCACATCTTATAACATTTATGAGACTAATGTAATGAAAACTTTCCCATATCATCCAATGGGTGTTGTTAGAGGCAACAGAGGAAAACAATCTAAGAGATTGGCAGCAAAATCTTTTTAATAACAGTTAGATAATAAAAAAACTGCAGTTGTCAAACATTGCAGCTATGGCAAACATCCCCCTTATGAGGCAATCTATAGGGGGGTTTAAGTATAGCAGTGAAATTTGATAGGCTCTAATGAATAATGATGATGATGATGAAATGAAGTTGAAGTATTATTTTACAATGACTTGTGCTCCGTATAAATAAAATAAAATCTTACAATCAAAGTTGTTAAGTGTAGTTAAGAATATAATAATTTATAATCAATATAGATTTTAAGAAGACTTATTGTAAGTCATTTAAGATTTACCACTAGTTTGGAAAAAACCTCTGTCATGGAAAGTACCAGCAAGAAACCTGTGTTGAAAACCAAGTAATGTGGAGGCAGTTTGTATATATCAATTTCACACAGACAAACATCCAGATCCGGAGCAATCATTTGTAGGCCATTTAAATACTTGTTCCATGTGGGATTCGAACCTGCAGCCCTTGGCATACCATGGATAACTCATTGCTAAGCAAGTGTACCATGGAGCCGTCAAAGTTCCTAGTTTTTATAGCTATTCGATTTTTCAGGTGCAAGGCATGACAGAGCTGAATGGCTGTGAACCCCGAAAAATTAAAGTACTTGGTCCCTACACATTTAGCATTGGCGACACTACCAACTTCTCGAAATATATACGTGGTGGTATTGTCACACAAGTGAAAATGCCCAAGAAGATCAGCTTTAAACCTCTGAAGGAGTCAATTAAAGAACCGGAGTTCTTGATCGCCGATTTTGGTAAATTCGACTACCCGCAGCAGTTGCACGTGGCATTTGCCGCACTACACAAGTTTAAAGATACCGAAGGTCGCTTGCCTCAGCCATGGTGCATTCCTGATGCTGGCAAGTTCTTGGACTATGCAAAGGCCATAGTGAAAGATCAAGAAATTTTCAAGGAAGGAGAGATTGAATTAAATTATGAACTTTTGGAAACATTCTGCAAGGTTAGTATATTCCAAAATGTTGTGTACATGTATTGCTTCAGTACTGCCGTTTGCAGTTATGTTTCTTTCATGAGCCGGGGTATAAGTGTATCATAACATTATGCACGCAATCCTCAAGGAGGAAGTCGGAGTCCAAAGAACAGCCATTCACACCATGTTTAGACAGTTTAGATGAAAAATTGTGAAAGAATTGGCTAGCCCATCACTTCACAATCACAAACCCAATATTCCATTTGTCCCCTTTTACAACATGCTAGGCAGGTAACATAGTTGGCAATTTATTTCTCACATAAACACGAGACCTGCAAGTCCCAGGCCAGCATGAGAAGTATGAATTCTTGCCTTAAAATTTCATTGTATGCAAGTAAACCATGTTCAATCCCTGCTGGAACCAAAGAAATGTTATCTTAATTTATGATGTGCTTGGTGGTGAGAGAAACCATGCAGGTTTCCTCACCAACTCACTCTGAAATCCGCCATCTTTAGGCAGCGCGGCGGGTTCTTCACTATGACTAATCCACACGCGGAATGATGATCGTTAGATAATATAACTAATTACCCAAACTTATAAGTTTAGTTTTTTTATTTAATAACAAAGGAAATGCAGCTTATTGGATTCATAGAATAAGTTTGACTTAATCCAACATTCCAAAAAACGTATTCCTAATAAAAAAAGAAATAGAAAAATCAAATTTAATGGTCTTTCTCTGGTAAAAAATGAGATGACGGATTTTATACTACCATGTAGTGTTTTCAGATTCCAGATCCTCTCTTCCTAATATATCTAGAATATAATCATTTTTATTCAATATAGATTATAGTACATAATACTTATTGAAAGTCATTTTGTACTTTTACCACTGGTTCACAAAAAAAACCTCTGTCCTGGGAAAAAACCAGTGGGATTTTTTTTTAATAGGCATAATTTACTTTGTTAATTTGTAAATTTAATAATGTTATTATCAGTCATGTAATCTTTAGTAGTATAATAATCCTTCTAGACAATTTTTGCTTAATAAATAATTTAAAGCTTTTGATAGAAAAGGTCTGCATATTTTCTGGGACTTTAATGGAGATGCAAGTGAATATAAGTTTAAGATGTATAACTTTTCAAACAGGTGTCTTCTGGTGACCTGAATCCTATGAACGCGGCAATTGGCGGTGTTGTCGCACAAGAGGTGATGAAGGCTTGCTCTGGCAAGTTCCATCCAATAGTGCAGTGGCTCTACTTAGATGCTATTGAGTGTCTACCCAAGGATCGTTCAGCTCTCACCGAAGAGAGCTGCAAGCCTGTTGGATCCCGTTACGATGGTCAAGTGGCTGTGTTTGGTCGTGACTTCCAGAAGAGGCTTGGAAAATTGAAGTATTTCATTGTTGGTAAGTGATTCCATCGTAATCCTGATTACAACGCCGTGTAGTAGCGGGGTAAGAAAATCCACTCAGTCCATATAATCCAGTGGTTGTCATAAGAGGCAACAGTGGAAGCCATACCAGGAGATCGGCAGCAGCATCTTCCCAATAACTCAAAATGATAAGAAAACTGTGGTTGCCAACCTGACTGCCAAGAGTATTGGCTATGGCAAATATGTGAGGCAATGTATGAAGGAGGCCTATGTTCATCAGTGGACTTTCAATAGGCTGTAACAAATTAATTTCATTGCATAATGTATAATTTTCATAAGTACATAGGTAAAGAAATTTTAACCACAACCATCATTATTGTTTTAAAAAAATAAACTCAAGACAGCTTAGTATCAAACTGTCTTGAAAGATAAATGACTCAACTAGATTTATTTTTCTTTAAATCATACAAGGCTTGTTATCAGGCAAGGTTATCGACTGACAACAGGTTTCCATCTCTGTACTACATAGTCTTTGTTAGTCTTTAATTATAAGAAATACTGTCACAAAAGACGCCAATCTAATTGCACCATAGTATATAGATAATTCATCCATTTGTATATTTAAATAGATATAACTGGTTGTAAATAAATATTATTAGAGATTATTTAAGATAATGAATAAATGCAGTTTTAGAAGTTTAACCTCATTTGCATATGAATTAGGGGAATATGGGAACTTTTTCATTGCTGCTGACTGACCGACATAGGACTGTGAAATAAACCTGATGGCAGAATACCAGCGTAAAATAGCAGCTTGATGCTGCTATGTTTCGTATGGTAAGTGTAGAGAACAGAATACCCTTTTTACTGAAAACGAGGCATTCCATCTCAGTTCTCAGGGATGACAATGCGTCTGCATTTTGATTCTTTTATACTTATCGTCAGATGGACTGTGTGTTTGTTTGCCTTTTTCTATATAAGCTGTACGTCGCGACTTCGCCCGCGTGTAATTTAGGGTATTAATTTTTTTTGCATGGAACCCTAATTTTTTTTCTACAACAAAAGTAGCCTAAGTTACTCCTAATAACATCAGCTAGTGAAAATCCTGTCAAAATTGTTCCAGCCGTTTTAGATATTAGCTGGAACAAGCAAACACAGACAAAAATTTTGTTTCGTCTAAGTATCATATATACTTTCATATGCATTTAGTAAGAAGCTGTTATTTTGACATTACAAACAGACACTTTAATTTTATTTATTTGTATAGAAAAAAAAATAAGATGAAATGTCATCATCATTACAGTCTATCAAAAGTTCACTGCTGAATGTAGGCTTCCACATAGACTGCCTCATAAGTAGGGTATATGCTATAGTTGTTATGCTTGGCGGGTGGTTGGCAAGAGCAGTTTTTATTATTTTGAGTAGTTATCAGGAAGCCCATCTCCTGTTTCCCTCCGTTGCCTCAAACCAAAGCTGAACATAATAATTTCAAATTTAATTGCAACATATCATCCTCCTACCCCGGGTACAAATTGGAACACTCCTTTGTGCCTCGGGCTGGAGTTTGCGTATACGTCAGAGAGGACATCTGTTCTCGATACCACGGGGAGTGCTCTGAGGAATTGTTCGGTTTAATCCCAGCCGCTCAATTTCACCATCGCACATCGCAACAAAACTCGCGATATACCATCTTTACCATCTGGATGATTGGCGGTCCACCACTGTGCTATTTAGAAGTTTTCTTTCTCGCACAACTTCCTTGTGAATTCCACCGGCGAATTTTCCGGACCAATATAACTTAGGGACCTTCAAGAAAGGAAGGAGCCTATTCCTTTTTAAAAGGCCGGCAACGCATCTACATTTCCTCTGGTTCCCCTGGTGTTACAGTTGATCATGGGCGGCGGCACTTACCATCAGGTGAGCCGCATGCTCCTATAAAATAAAATAAAACATTATGTAACATAGGTTTCCTTGTTTGATCCAGGTGCCGGAGCCATAGGCTGTGAGCTTCTCAAAAACTTTGCCATGATCGGAGTCGGCGCTGATGGTGGTCGAGTTACTGTTACTGACATGGATCTCATCGAGAAGTCCAACCTCAACCGGCAGTTCCTTTTCCGGCCCCATGATGTCCAGAAACCGAAGTCCAGTACAGCTGCTATGGTATGAATTCTGTATTTTTTTTAACAAGTAGTCATCAATATTTTTTATTTCCATTGAACATAATAGATTAAAATAAACTAAATGTTGAAGTCTTCCTGATCTTGAATCGAAATTTTAAGTGAGAATGAAAATTCCTCATCGAAATTAAAAATGCTTTGATTAAATTGCAAGTCTGCCAATAGATTGCTTTAAAACAGGTGAGAAAGCATGTGCCCAGCTGTGATATTTTAGTTCACAAAGAAATTATTGATCACAACTGGCTGCCATGCCGCCTGGTGACAAGAGGTCTGGTTCTTGACTCGCATTAAAGCTAAGTTCTGGGTATTTTGCTGTAAATAATTGGTCTATATAATAATTCAATTTATTTTTGCAAATATTGCTTATATAGTATGTACATACATACAGTTTACTACATATGTATATTAATAAATTTGACTGTTTGAGTTGTCATTGGTCAGGTTTAAATCCTGGCTCAGGCAAAAATCAGTTATTGGGATTAGTCAGGTAGTTGGCAGTGTTACGCCCATGAAGCAAATACAAAGAGGAGACGGCATAAACAACTGTGCACTGTGATTCTAAGTAGGTCCTGACGTCATCATAGTGGGCGTGGCTTTAGTTACTATACTATCAGCATTCGTCCTGTGTGCTTATGTGTTGAAAATCGCAAATCGGTGTATTTTCGTAGTATTAAGAAGAAAATGATGAAGTGTTGTGTTTTATCATGTAAAAACTACTCAGATAGACACTCTGATGCTATGGATGGCATCACATTTCATTTGTAAATAATTTTACACCTAATTTATTAAAATAGTTCTAGAAAAATCTCTTTGCGTCGGCTTTCAAATATAATTAAATATATTCGACACTAGATGGCGACACTTTGTGTCATGTGAACTAAAAATTTAAAAGTACGTAGAACTCAGTATTGGTAAAATAATTATAATTTTATTTGCTGAAATTCGTTTTGCATTCAGACAAATAAATTTTAATCGCCAAAATATTATTTTTATAGTTTATAATCATTTTGTGAACAGGCCGCCATCTATCGTCAAGATAGCTAAACTACATTGCAACATCGATATGAAACGATCCAAGTAGTTTTACTATTTATCGGTAGATGTGTAGATAGTGTAAAGTGGGCGGGGCTTAACACCCCCTCATCCCGCAAATTGTTTAGCGTTGTTACATAGTGAAATCTAATTACAACACCTCCTCTTTGTATTTGCTTCATGGTTACGCCCCTTGCTTTGGAAAGCACGTTAAGTTATTGGTCCTATGCCTGGTCTCTACAGTTGTCTCGCATTGCCTTCCTATCATTATGAAAATGAGGGAGTAGAAAGTGCAACTTGTTTGTGCACACACTCATCTAGTCCTGTGCAGATGTCTTGGGCTGAGATCTATGGATTGTACTTTGACTTTGCTCAGTCTTTACTTCCGAAAAACTTAGCTGAATATATGTTTAGCATAATCTTTGATTCTGAATTTATAGTAGTATCGGACTAAAATTAAGCTAAGCATATGTATGCTAAGGCCCAGACAGTCAACAAATTAATGGATGCTTCATTCCACTCATTGTTCTTGATTTTACTGTATAAAATAAAAATAAAATATTTAAAAATCGAAAACAGTTCAAATTGTATTTCATTAAGTTATTACTACATAAAATAGAAAACAGAGCGTATGAGAATGGGAAAAGATGAGAAGAGTGCAAAATCAGAAAAAAGAAATTTTAAGAAATTCGAAATAGTTTGAAAATTACGTTAATAGAAAATGGTTTAATGCTATTTAAAATTATAAAATGGCCTGAAACCACCCATTATACCATTAATTAGAGTAACATAAAAATAACAATTTAAAATTTAATATGATGGTTTTGGAGAATATCCTGAGTTTTACGTAAGTCGTCGAATTCGTTGACTTAGGCTTTGCTAAGCGCGCACTCAGCACGACTTCGAATTTAACTCTATAAATACCGACATTGTCTTAGCTCGAAAGTACAGTCTGAGCAAAGTCAAAGTATGGTCTATAGATCTCAGCCTAGAGTAGAGACTGCCGCCGTTACGGAAATTCGAACTGGACGTGGGGCGTTTTATACGTGGTATAGCCATGCTGCAGCTATATTAGTAGTATAGTTGTAGCACGAATGGGTCGGCTCGACCGGGGAAGGACCACGCTCTCACAGAATACCAGCATAAAATAGCAGCTTAACACTGCTGTGTTTCGTATGGTGAGTGTAGAGAACCAGAGACCCTATTTACTGGAAAAGAGGCATTCCATCATAGTCCTCACGGGCGACAACGCATCGGCATTTTGATTCGCAAACGAGGATAGATGTAGATGTCTATGGGCCACAGTAACCACTTACCATCAGGTGGACTGTGTGCTCGTTTGTCACCTTATCCTATAAAAAAAAAAGACTGCCGCCGTTACCGAAACTCGAACCGGAAGTTATATTATTTATTTAAATTAATAAAAAAATACTATTATATGTTTTATTTACTTGTGACATGAACTTTCACTTCACAAAAGTTTTAACAATCTTATTTGAAGTCTTATGTACATGTTTTTAATTGCCCTTTTACTTTCCAGGCGATTAAAAAAATGAATCCATCAATGAATGTGTTGGCTCAAGAGAACCGCGTTTGTCCAGAAACAGAATGTGTATATCACGATCAATTCTTTGAAGAATTGGACGGAGTGGCCAATGCTTTGGACAACGTAGATGCTAGGATCTACATGGACCGCCGCTGCGTCTACTACAGGAAGCCGTTGCTTGAGAGTGGTACCCTTGGCACTAAAGGCAATACTCAGGTATTTAATGTTTACAATTATGTTATTAATAGAATCAGGTGTTACTTTGCCAAAATCCAGTATATTAAAAGATGTTAAAAATTAATTACTTTAAACCCTTACCTAGTTTGTTGAGCACCTCACGCCCTCTCTCAAATGCGTGTACTATTTATGTCACCACTAATCCCAGCACCACTACTCCCATGCTACAATAGGAAAGACACTCCACCGTCGATAATACGACACGTGTTTCGCCTCGTTTAAAGTAATGCTCAGGTAAAGTATATTCGTGGCTGACTGCTTTGGTGGAGTGCACTTCAAACTAGGTAAGACACATCATTTTATTTCATTACCAGTGTAAGATCAGTATCTTAGCTTATTAATTTTTAACGTCTTTGTGTTATTAGTTATTGTACAGGTTATATAATTTTTATGTACATGAGTGAGCAAAATTCGAGCCCTATTTGGTGTTGTTACATTTTCTATTTTTGTAGCCTTTAAGGTACAAGTTATATAAAAAGAGGACTAATGATGATGATGATTGCTCAGTGCAGATGGCTAGTCACCGTTGAGACTGGTTGCCGTGAGCGAAATTCGGTCTGGAAGACATTATTATTAATACTAACTTAATATACTTATATTTCAGGTGGTAGTCCCATTCCTGACAGAGTCCTACAGTTCCTCTCAAGACCCACCCGAAAAGAGCATTCCAATCTGTACCCTTAAGAACTTCCCCAACGCCATTGAGCACACACTGCAGTGGGCTCGCGATGAGTTCGAGGGTCTTTTCCGTCAGTCTGCAGAGCACGCAGCCCAGTACCTTCGTGACCCCCACTTCTTAGAGCGCACCGTCAAGTTACCTGGAAGTCAGCCGCTAGATGTCATTGAAAGTGTTAGGGTAAGGATCACACACACACACGCGCGCGCGCACATACACACACACACACACGCAGACGCGCGCACCTGCACACTGTTAATTAAGCAGTAATATAAGTTATGCTTGCGATTTTTGTCACTTGTGAAAGTGAAACTCTTCATTGTTTGTGATTCGGATACACACTTGTACATGCTTGTTTGACAATATTTATTTTAATTTATTATTAATAAATTGGGTATGAATTAATGTAATTATATAGGCAAAATCAACATTGTTACGAGCTTGGGGTTCGAGACAGTTAAAAACTGTCGATTGAGTTACCAAAATTAACACTTTAATTACAGAACACTAATTACAACTTAAAACCACACTAACAATAAAACACAACTGTGCTACTGATCACTTTAGTTCGTAGTTGTATCGCATCAAGGTATTTGCTTGTATCACCAATTCAATACTGCCTCGGTCGCGATCTATATATAATAGGGCCTTAGCCACTCAACCGTCCACAGTGACTACAGTCCCCAAAAACCATTATTGCCTCACCTGTCTAGGCACCAAACAACATCTTTCGTTTTAAACGCGTACAGCACAAAAAATAGCTGTTATTAATACAGTAAAAAATTATAGATGGTGCTATATGAAATTTGTCATCTGTGAAAGTGAATTTTATCTGTATAATAGTAACAAAATAATTAGAAAAAAAAGTTAAAATTAAATTTTGCTATTTTTGTTTGTGGAATGTTGACGTGTGAGAAATTCGATCAAAAATGTGATAACTTTTCTGTTTTTCTGTTTTTGTGTTTTTCTGACGCCAAAAATCATACTGTGGCTTTACAAAACTGTAATTCGGCCCATGATCACATACGGCGCTCTGGTATGGTGGACCAAGACAAATGAAGCCACCATAATTAAAAAGCTTCAGCGCTACCAGAGACTGGCATGTATGGCTGCCACAGGCTGCATGAGAACTACGCCAACAGCAGCCTTAGAAGCGATGCTGGAGCTAACTCCGCTTCATCTACATATACAACAAGAAGCAACTTTAGCTGCCATCAGACTCAAGACCCTAAATCTTTGCAGTAAGAATAGTGTCCCTCATACAAGCATAATTGATAGAATTCACTCAAAAATTCCTATCCTACAAGCCAAATACGATAGGATTCCTAAACAATTTGTTTTCGATAAGAAATACAAGATACAGTTAAATGAAAACAGCCAGCCGGAAGGATTAAGCCCAAAAGAGCTTAGAATTTTCACCGATGGTTCTAAAACAAATGAAGGTGTAGGTTCTGGAGCTTTCTCTGAAGACCTCAATATTCACATATGCACACCGCTGGGTACCTATAACACGGTCTTTCAGGCGGAATGTATGGGTATCATTCAAGCGGCCATAGCAATAGATGCTAGGAAGGTTAATGACTTCCCCATCAGAATACTGACCGACAGTAGGGCGGTACTCCAAGCCCTGAGATGCAATGTGGTGAACTCGGGACTAATATATGAATGCCATAAACGATTAAATGAGGTATGTAAAAACAACAATGTGACCCTGCAATGGATAAAGGGACACAGTGGATCCAGAGGCAACGATGCAGCAGACGAACTGGCTAGAAGAGGATCGGCTTTGGCCACTATAGGGCCGGAACCAATCATACCAATCCCCTTTGGTAACGTTTGTTCACTGGTACGTAGACACTTCACTAATCAACACGCTCAGCTTTGGAAAAATCTAGTAGACTGTAGACAAGCTAGGGATGCCCTGCCTGAAATTAACAGTCGCTTAACAAAAGTTTTAATGAGACTGAACAAGCCGCAGATTAGGATAGTAACAAGTGCTATCACAGGACACGGCACCTTTAACAAACATTTATTTACTATAGGTGTTACAGATAGTCCCCTGTGCAGGGCATGTATGGGGGAGGAAGAAACGGCGGCCCACGTGCTACTGAAATGTCCGGAGGTCGCTACATACAGGGCTAAATATCTCGGCACGCCGGGATCACTCCCCGAAGTTGCATGCAACATCAAGGGCCTGTTGAGCTTCTTCGGAGAGATCTCATGGCTCGAATAATCACATTATTCCTGCCCACACGCAAAATACGCGCATAGACGTGGAGTTGCGGAAAACAGCCCGTCGTAAACTAAACTAAACTAAACTAACTTTTCTGTTTTTATACGTTATTTCTAATGTCATTGTACATCAAACTAATTGTGAAGATATTTTTTTTAGTAAATATGTATCATTACGACAATTCCAAAACTTTTACATATAATAATTTAGCTCTAAATTTTAATCCACTATACGCGATCATCGTTTATTGATTATAAAATAATGATTGACTATTAACACGTTGATAGCAATTTATAAACGAAATATCTGTTGATATGTGTCTAGAAATTATTAAAACCTATTTTTTTTTCATTCATTTACTTATTTATTCAAATTTATATTGGGTAAACATTATACACGTATGTGTATTGAGTATGTAAGATGTTATTGATATTGGTGTCATTTTAAAGGGAATATCGTGTACTATTATAATATAAAATAATTGTCCCCAGTAAGTATTACACTTTTCTTGTAAAACTCGAAATGAAAATTAATACTATTTTTTTTATATTCCCATTTTTAAGCATTATTTTCATGCTTTATTTTTAATTTGACTAATTTTCTTTTAACAAAATAAAATTTTGAATTCTTTGAGTCTTGAGAATATTTTTTATTTGAATGTAGAATAGTAGTTTTTCAGTAGTAATCGTTTTTGTTAAGACTGTCTCGCGCGGTCGTAAAAAATAGTGACATTTAATTTGCCGACAGGTCAGGCGAGAATCACTCGCGCGGGGCGGACGGTAGTGTTTAAGTAGTTTCCAGAACCTTCTACTATAGAAACTTCTATAGAATCGAAGAATGTTCGAGTACATATCGGTCCGGATTGACTAGGTTTCGAGAGTTCTAGAAAGTTCTTCCATGGAAATTTCTAGAATGTTCTTGACTCTCCTAGTTCTGTTACTCGATACTAGAGGGCGCTAGTGGTAACTAGTGTCGCCATGTAACATTTATTAATCGTGGCGCGCAACAATTCTACAGATTCTATAAAAATAATAATCAATCTCACCAAATCTGCCTCCTTTTCTGCCTGGTTAGCCACGCTCTTCTTACCCGCCAAGTAGCAATGCTTGCGCTACTATATTCCAGTCTTAAAAGGTATACAGGCTGTGAGGCATTCCATTTTCAACAGACTTCAAAAAGGAGAAGGTTTACAATTCGTCATAATTTTTTTTATGTAGTATGTACACCGATTACTCGAAGACGCCTGAACCGATTTGGAAAATTCTTTTTTTTCCCTTTAAATTTTATCGAAATCGGTCGAGCGGTTTTTAAAAAAATCACCAATAAATTGTATTTATAAGTCAGTTGTAGAAATTTTTTAATTTTACCACTTGTAATCTGCAGAGATGAGAACGCATCTGTAGCCTTTATTTGAAGTTGTTTACAGATGTTCATGGACTGCTGTACCAATACTTATCATTATGTGGACTGTAAGTTCGTATTCCACTTCAGTTTTGTCTGCCACAGTGGCAGCCACTTAAGGGCGTTTCTTCCCTGATGGTTACACATGTCTGTAAGAGCCAGGGGTTGAAAAGGTTCCAGTAAGAAAGCAGTGTTTAGTACTAGATCAAAAATTGAAACCTTGAAGAAGAACCAGGCACCTTTATTTTTACAGTAAATAGAGGAAACAAATATATATAACTTTCTTGATTACAGTAGGTGACAGTCTTAAAATGATATTTGTTGCGAGAAAAAACCATGTAAATTTGTTTGTCCTGTTCTACAATTGAAATAATAGTATTAAACAAGTGAATTTAAAAAAAATACCACGTTTTTTTTCCCTATCATATTCTTGCATTGTCATCTGAATATGACCTATATTCAATATTTCAAGTTTCCAGCTAATCGGGAACTTAATTTAAAATCAATTAGTAAATTCCACCTGGAACAACAGACAAACAATGAAGTCACAATAAAATCGAGGTAAAATAAAGCTTATGCACTTTGATGTTGGCCTTCGCCTTTGAACTTTAAAAATATTTGCTAATTTGGCACCATACTGAAAAGTGTAACCTTTTCTAAACTAGCACTGTAAACAATATCTTGATTTTTAAATCAATAATTATGTTATAATAAATAGTACTCGTTTTATTACTAACTAGCTGGTACCCCGCGTTGCTACCACAGAAAAAAAAATTGTAGAAATGTCGTTTTAAATTTCTAATAGTTATATTCTTTAATTAGGAATGATCATACATTCATTGAAGTTGAATGATGTATAACTTTCAAATAAATTTGTAGGTACGATACGCGCGCCACCTTATTGTAAGTTAGTTGTAATATGCCTATAACCTTCTCACAAGTGCAAGCAATAAGTTTACAAAGTTTTAGCGCAATCTGATGAACGATATGACACCGCATAAAATACGAAAAAATAAAAATTAATTTTTATATATTTGATATTTTTTGTTAACAAAAAGTTTTAATTTCAAAAATATTTTCATTACAGAATGCAATAAACGAACGCCCTCTCAACTTCGAGGACTGCGTGACATGGGCCCGCCTGCACTGGGAAGCACAGTATGCCAATCAAATCAAGCAGCTTTTGTTCAATTTCCCTCCAGACCAGCCTACGATGAGTGGGGCACCATTCTGGTCGGGACCAAAACGCTGCCCATCACCCCTTAAATTCGATCCTGAAGATGAACTTCATTTGGACTACATAGTAGCAGCTGCAAACCTTCGTGCTCAAGTGTATGGTTTACCAACTTTCGTGGACAGGGAGGCGATTGCTCAAATGGCTGCTAGAGTAGAGGTAAGACCTTAATAGTAATTATAAGTTGCGATTTCCTTTTTCTTTTCAAGGGGACTCGTGAAGAAAAAGTACATCAGCTTTTATTTTTAAATATAATCATCATAAATGAATAAAAGCGGCTTTTTTTATCATCTATCACTAAAAATAATTAGCGGGCCGCAAATTGTAATGAGTTTTACCTTGGTTTGTGATGTTTATCGTACGCAGAGAATCATAGCCTAGCATAGTGTGAACAGCTGTAACACCAGGGGAATTGCAGGTGCTTAGTCGGCCTTTTTGAAACAAGTAAGCTCTTTTCTTGAAGGTCCCTAAGTCGTATCGGTCCGGAAAAATCGCTGGTGGTAAACGATTCCATAAAGAGGTCGTACGAGGAAGAAAACTCTTAGTGAAACATACAGTGGTTGACCGCCAAGCATCCAGATGGTGTGGATGGTATCGTGAGTTTGGTCGAGATGTGCGGTCGTGAAATTAGGCGGCTTGAATTAATCCGAACAATTCCTCAGATCATTCCCCGAGGTAAATGCGATAGAAAACGCAAAGGGATGCAACATCGCTTCACAGTGCCAGTGAATCGAGTTGATCAGAAAGAACTTGGTAGTCGACGATTCAAGCCGCTCTGCGCTGTATGCGGTCAAGCAGAAGGAGATGCGCAGAGATGGGAACAGTATTCCGTGTGAGCTCGAACCTGTGCCCTGTAAAGTTGTAAGTGGTGCTAACTGAGGCAGCAAGGAGAGTGCCCTTGAAATTGAAGAGGGGAGAATTGGACTCGCTTACCAGACGAAACGCAGAAGTAAAGCTTCTACTTCATGCTGGTATTCTTTGAGTTTGTGGTGCCTCCCCGGTTCGAGCCGGCCGATCCCAGCAACAGCAAAAGCTGCCGCGTGGCACTACCACTATTTTCTATCAATTTAATTAAAGGCTATCTATCATCAGTATTGTTTTCAAAAGCTGGGAAAATATAAACTGAGTCTTTAAAAAAATTTACTTTGCTTATCAGAACACAGTAATTTTTATTTTATGCTTCCATAATTATTTACGTTTTTAAACAAAGAGTAATGTAATAAAAAGTATTCTGTATTATATTATTATATAATCACTATTTTTATCCATAATTTTTCTAGTCTAAATGGATTTTGTTTCTTAATCCAAATTAAATTCTAGATAATGGCAACCATATAGACATGTTAATTATTGAACTGAGTAAAACCTTTCATTTTAAAATGCTACAGATTAATAATTTATTTATTTATTTATTTATTTAGACTTACCAACTAAGTACATATGAAAACATTTCGGCTACATTTTGTATAACATTATATATATGTACTTAAATTATAGGTGAGTACAACACTTTAACATTAACGCAATTACTTTATTTAAAACAATACTAAAAATTATGTGTGAGATTTAAGTTAAGATTTAAGAAAAGACATATTTTTTAAGTAAAATATAGAATAAAGTTACATTAAGTATGGCTATTTAATTTTATTATCATTTAGGATGAATGTTTATATCGAGTTACTCGATGTGCTTTTCAACATTCACTAGAAATTGGCTAACACTGAAAAAATATCTATATCTATGCTTGCCTTTCTAAAAAGTCGATTATATCTGGATAAAACAAGTGATATGGGGCTATTCTTTCCATAATTGTTCCTTCTTCTAGGCACAAATAATGGGGCATAGGTGTGCAGCCGAGTCGATGGTCTGGGGATTCTTATTCCAACTAGGGAAAGTAATTCAGGGCAGTCAATGGCACCATTAAGGAGCTTGTAAAGGAAAACCAGTCTGAGTTTGTGTGCATGCTGATGTAATGATTTTAGGGAGAAATAATCGAGCTTTTTCTCATAACCTCTTATAGTGCGATGCACTCCAGCAACGTATGAGAGTCTGCGAATGAACTTCTTTTGAACATTTTCCAATCGTTGAATATTGTTTTGATAAGTGGGATACCATACATTACAACAATATTCTATGTTACAGCGAACCAATGAAAAATAAAGAGTCTTTAATGCAATGACTGATTTAAATTCTCTGGTGTTTCGCAATATGAATGAAATCATCCTCAGGCTTTTATTTACAACTGCATCAATGTGTTTTCCGAAATTCATTTTTGAATCGATAAGGACGCCCAGATCACGAACCACGTCGACCTTTTTAAGTGGTTGTTTTGCAATGTTATAGCTAGTTTGGAATTTATGGTATTTTCGGGAGAATTTGATATGAAAACATTTTTTCATATTCAGCTCCATTCTATTATGTTGGCACCAATCGTAAAATTTGTCGATATCATCTTGTAAAGCTCTTTGCTCTTGCTCAGTTTTGACAATCTTTGATATTTTTAGGTCGTCTGCATATAATATACCATATAACCTCAAAAAACATATTGTGCATAATTACTAGATTCTCCGTACTTTAAAAAATATACTGGATGCCGTACTTTGTTATAATTAAATAGACAAATTAAATAACATTTATGTTTCATCAAGTTATGTTATATTAGAGTTTACTAGTGCAACCATGTTAGAAGCGTGGCCATTTTCTTTTCACATATCTATAAAATAACTGCTTTATTATCAAATTTCAGGTGCCAGAATTCAGCCCTAGGCGCGGGGTTAAAATCGCTGTCACTGACGCACAGCTCATGTCACAGAACAACGATCAAATGGACCAAGATAAAGTTGAGAACATAGTTGCCGAGATCCCCCACCCTAGCAAACTTGGGAACCTTAAGATCACACCACTTGAATTCGAAAAAGACGACGACACCAACTTCCACATGGATTTCATTGTAGCTGCTTCCAATCTTCGCGCCGCCAACTACAAGATTCCTCCAGCCGACAGGCATCGTTCCAAACTCATCGCGGGAAAAATCATCCCAGCGATTGCTACTACAACTTCCGTTGTGGCTGGTCTTGTATGCCTCGAACTGTACAAACTAGCTCAGGGCTTCAACACACTCGATGTATTCAAGAATGGCTTTGTCAATTTGGCATTACCTTTCTTTGGTTTCTCTGAACCGATAGCTGCTCCAGTTAATGCATACCATGACAAGAAATGGACTCTGTGGGACAGATTTGAGATCAAGGGAGAAATCACATTGAAGCAGTTCTTAGATTACTTCAAGAACGAGCACAAACTCGAGATCACGATGTTGTCTCAAGGTGTTTGCATGCTTTATTCCTTCTTCATGCCCAAAGCGAAGAAGCAGGAGCGGTTGAATCTACCCATGTCGGAAGTGGTCACTGCGGTTTCCAAGAAGAAACTGGAGCCGCATGTGAAAGCGTTAGTATTCGAGCTGTGTTGTAACGATGAGGACGACAACGATGTCGAAGTGCCGTACGTAAAGTACACTTTGCCTTAACCGCAGTGATATGAAATTGAATGCAAACATCGTCAAACACACACACCACGAGCCTAAATTCATTTCAGTCGGCGATGTCGACGTATTTTCGTGGCATATAAACGAATAATAGCGATGTTTCTACGAATTTTCACTAACAGAGGGTATTTTTAAAGTATGAAGAATAGATCTAGATGTTTTATATAGCTCGTGCCTCGAAGCAGAAAGGATGGACATGATTGTACAGTGGTAGTGTAAACCGTGTGATGTTTTTTTTTTATTTGTGCTTTAAGACACGCTTTTATTGTCTACAGGTAACTTACATATATTTATGGTAGTTATAATTATTTGCTCACTAGTAATTGGCAATCAGCAGTCACGATTTGAGGTTGTTCTTTATCCCAGCAATCAAAATTGATTTTATACACCTATATTTGTCAAAATATTTAAATGTTTAAAATCCGATGGGTCTGTATATGGAAAGAAAATAAACAAAATTTGAGCATATTTGCGTTTTATTAAAAGTCTGTTGACAAGTCACATGTTTATTTAGTATAAATACATCTTTACACAATACACAGTGAGAGAGATCATGTTGTGCAGAAATTATCCAACCCACAAAAATTTTAAGTTTAATAACTATGAAATATAAATGCATTTTTTTTATGGCAGAAGCCCTATTATGTTATGTAAATCATTTTAAAGAAAATGGAATGTAGCTTGTGGGATATTTAGAAATAAAATGACTAAAGATCCTCCAGATCACTATTTTGACCAGTATTTGGATCATTTCTGCACAAGACGGTCCAATTATTTATTGAAAATCTAATGTTCAGTATAATATGAATTACGGCCCTTGATACAAATTATTTTTTTGAGGTTTTATGTTAACAATATTTAAAAAAATACATTTTGTTTACTTTGGCTTTAAATATCAAGTTTACTTATACTATGGATTTATAATTTTAGTAGCCTAGAGACAATGAACAGCTATCGAATGTTAGGTATATTATATTGTGACTAAAGGCTGCGATAAACTTAAATCGTATATTGTTAGTATTTGATGGAATTATTAAATATATCACGAGTTGAAAAGATTTCAAATTGAAGTGACTAGAATAATTAGTTAGTTAGTTGTCTTTGAATAAACAATCTCTTAAAAATATTTTGGAAGAAAAATAAGGGGCAAAGGTACTGAACAAACAAACCTAATCTTTATTAAAAATCGTTACAAATCTATTATTTGTCGCCACATTAACATACGTTTAATTCCATATTAGTTTCTTTATAAATAAATCACAGTTACATGATTAAAAAATTAACATTTCTTTGCTGATAATGTTTTTGTACAATGACTATTAAACTGGCTCAAAATATAAAGCGAGATATAATTCCTAAAAATACTTCTCGCAAATTCAATATAATTCTACTAAGTTTTTGATAAGCGTATCCAAAGTATGAAAATATTTTATTCTTTCGTTTTAAAATAATCTCAGTAAAAAGCGAATAATGGGGTATTCTCAGTAGTCTACTATACAATCTACTTGTAACACTACTGATGACAACTTCCATGGACTTTATAAAACTGCTGAGGACTACTGAGAATTTTAATAAAACTAATTTTACGGATATTATCGCGGATATTTACTTATTTTATATTAATTTTTGTTCCAATCTACGCAAAAAATGAAAAAATTAATAATTTTTAATCTGGAGGTAGCCGTGGTTAACTATGACATTGGGACGTCCTACACCTCAGTCCCCTCCGTGACCATGGGTGCTATAAATTACTTGAAACGTCGGGAATATAAAATAAGTTAATATACGCGATAAAATCCGTAAAATTAGTTTTATTTAAATGTGTAGTGTTCGCGTAAATATAAGAAATCATGACTGAGAATTTTGTTCCACAGTGGTCTTACCAGTAAGGCCTACTTGGTAAGAAAAGTTTTCCGTAGCCTTATCAATAAGACTACTGAGAAGAAAATTCTCAGTAGTATATTACTAAGACTACTGGAAATACCCCGAATAAATTTCGCAAACTAAAAGCTATTTGCAAAATGACAATTATTGTAATAATTACGACATACGTGGGTGATCTTAATATAATTGTATATAAAACTACGTGCAGGCACTTCAGCTTCGGAAGCTTCGCAGATTACGAGTATACAACCTTAATTTATCACTTAGGCCTAATAATGGGGTTAATGTGTTTTGCACCATAATTATCCACAGATGGACATCTCTATCAAGGGGCATCTCTAGCATTTCAATAGCATGATCGATAATTTAACATTAAATAAAATAACACAAAAAATAGCACCTTTAAATGCTGCTTAATTACAAGGTAATATTTAACATTCTCTTATCAAACCGTAAACAGACGCTGGCGGTTTTGGGTCTGTTAAGATTACGGCAAATACTGGTCTAAGTAGTTTCTTATGACATTCACGGGATGAGATGTGGTGTATGTTTCTATACATAATTGAGGCATTTTATTATGTTGCGAGTAGTAAAAATTAGTTTTTATGTCATTATTTCTATTAATATAATTAGAAATTTTGTACAACCGACTTCAATATAAATTATTAAGAATAACTCATAAACTATTGGTCAGACCTTGATCAAATTTATATGGGACTACATGAGAAGCACCAGCTTTCAAATAAAAAAGAATCATCGAAATCGGTTCACCCAGAAAAAAGTTATGAGGTAACACACATTAAAAAAACATACAGTCGAATAATGTAGACCTGTTGCCTGTTGTTTTCCGCAATATCACAAATTTATGGAATGTTATAAGATCTTAAAGCTTATCACATATAATTTTGAATGCTAACCATGTTCATTGTCGAGCCAACTTTTTTTTTATTTACTTACATATAACGGGTACTTGACCTAATTCAATTGGCCACACCCCCTTTCCGATAGTTCCATCCTTTCTTCAAAGAAAAAGAATACTAATGTATTAAGCTTTGTGTCTTATATAAAATTTGATTCGGAAAATACACAACTTTATCCAAAAGAAATAAGTGTACTCGCGTCGTTGCGTGATTGGAAATGAACGTGTTAAGCTCAAAGATTAACATGCAATGAAGGCATCAACGACTTTTGCCATAAGGGCGGCGCCACTTTGGAAGAAAGTGATATATTTCACAGATCTCAATATAAATTATTAAGTTCACTTCAGTTCCAACCACTGACATCTGGAGAGCGTAAGATTATTAGTTTACATTGGTTGTGAAGGGGGGAAGGGGGGGGGGGGGGTTAAAGTATTCGTTAAACTGCACTGCTGTGTGAGATTAGAGGTGGGCGAGGTTCGCCTGCAGAGCGTACAGCAGCCGATCAGCGCCACGGCCGCCTCCGCGGAGAGCCCATGTACCGCGACCTAAGCCCCGCCTTCTCGCCGCTAAAGCTCTCTGTCACATATGTATTTACTTATTTAAACTTTATTTGTACACTTACAAAGAGCAGGACTTAACTTTTTTTGTAGAATAAGAGTGAAAAACAAGCACACATTCCACCTGACGGTAAGTGGATGCTGTGGCCCATAGACGTCTACATTTATCCTCACTCAAAAATCGTTGATTGCGTGAGATGCGTTGTCACCCCTGAGGACTGAGATGGAATGCCTCGTTTCCAGTAAAAAGGGTCCCCGGTTCTCTACACTCACCATACGAAGCACAGCATCAAAATGCCACGAGGCATTCTCTACCATTCTACCACCGGGTTGAGGATTGATTTATCAACCGTGAGATAAAATATATCCATCAAATGAATCATAAGCCGACTGAATATAAGAGTGACACAAATTGTGCTATTTTATTTATACATGTGTAATCTTTAATTTGTATATGCTGTCTTCTAACCTATTAATACATTTTATGTGAGGATTAAAAATTCGGTTCTACATGGGTGCAAAGTGCAATATATTATAAAATATGTGTTACAACTTTAAAAGACAATATGTTTAATAATATAGTATACTTATATGTATAACACCTAAACATCATTAAATATGCACATATACAATATATAAAACAGAGGCTGTCCGATTTGAATGGAGCACAAATGTAGCATAACCAAAAAATATTAAAACAATTTAAATTTATAATTAGATTTTCGAAATACACGGTTTTTACTACAATTTACTTAAAATTCAGTAAATTTTAAAAATCTGGCAACATCGTTGTCGGCGACTGTATCTTTGAAGGTCTTGGCGGTATTGTTATCAGGCTGCCGCCACACCGCATGCATTACCATGGGTTTTTAAATTAAATTAATTTTATTTTAGTTTTTCCCATTGAGATAATATGTTACTACGTAACTAGAGTCGCTACTACCAACAAGCACTGTGTTGTACAAAACATTGGTGCACGCTCCTCAATGGGCCTTATTCGCTGTTTAGTGAGAGACCGAGATACACGGTGCAGAGATTACGTAAATAATTAATTATGCCGTATTGCCCACTTAGATACTGTAAAAATAGTTCTAGAAATGCATCAAAATCTGAAGGAGTAACATTTCATAGGTAAGTAATATATTATTAGGTGAAATTCGTATAATTTAGGTAAATTTTATGTGATTTGAAAGAATTAAATACGATCATAATTGCTCGCTCGCTTGCACGCGCTGCTATTACGTAAGAGCGAGAGAGATAAAAAAGAACGAGCATGGATTAAAGCTCCTATGGCACAGAAGCGACAACTCTTTTTTAATTAAGTCATAACCTATATTAATATTGTCCTTTTTCTTTTATAATTTCCATTATAGTATTTACTAATTTATTGTAAACAATCTTCTCTCAATTTTATAACGCAGTAAAAAAGAACGTAAAGTAAACATTCTACTACAATAATGTTTTATTTGTGTGTAGTTTTTTTTTCTACATTTGATGTATCAAAGTATCTTTAAGGATTCCACGTGATTAAGATTTTTCATTTTATTTTATTTTTTAATGGGTTAAGTATACATATTTAGCAGTCAATATTTTGTAGGTGGATAATGAAAAAATAAATAAAAATACTTTTCAATGCTTTGTTGTTTAATTTAACATTATGTAAGTAATGTAAAATGTATAATATCACCTCTATTTTATTAATCTATGACCGACGTCATCGAGAAGCGTGGTGGGGTGTAATCGGGACGCAAATTTACTGGGAAGCGGCGACTCTAGTTACGTAGTAACATATTATCTCAATGGTTTTTCCCAAGATATTTTTTATTAATGCTCTGAAAATGATTACTTACTTGAACAGAATCATAATATCACGCCACCCAAAACTCCTTCACGGATAGGTCAGGGTTTTTTTATATAAATTTATATTCAACATATTACATCATACAATCATAAATATACATAAATATAGCAAACAGGACAAACAAGACAAAAACAACGAAAGCAGAAACTAGATAGTAGGAGGCTATATTGGAGTAGGAAAACTACAAATTACTCCTGCAGTGTAAAATAGTGTTTCTAGAGCAAACATTTGAATGATAACTTTTTCTTTTATAGGATAAGGGTGAAAAACGAGCACACAGTCCACCTGATGGTAAGTGATTGTTGTGGCCCATAGACATCTACATCTATCTTCGATTACGAATCAAAATGCAGATGCGTTGTCACCCGTGAGTCCTAAGATGGAATGCCTTGATTACAGTAAAAAGGGTACCCGGTTAAATAACTTGCTTGTGTTTGAGGAATTGTGAACATAATCAAATGTATTTATGTTATTATGTTCACAATGTCTTTGCTACATTCTTTTTACCTGATGGTAGCAAAGCCAAATAGGGTGTATAGTGGTTTTTAGCTGATGGATCTGCAAACAACTCCCAACATAGGAGGTCAAAGATGCGTTGTTAAACCTATGGTTTAAGACAAACAGCTTGTAATTGACTCTCTTCTCGTTTAAGCCGGAACCCAGCAGTGGGATCACTGCTGCTTGACAGCTAAATTAGGTATGAGTGTGGTATTAACCCAGATGTTGACCACGAAAATAATTCATCTTCAATTTTTTTTTATTCTATAACGCACGCAGATATGATTACTGAAATGTATAACGTGTAGGTCGACCTTAATATGTATGCAAGCTTAGGTCAAATATTTACTTTAATAAATAAAAAAAGCATAGTGATCATGCACAGGCGCAGTGCATACAAACATATATTCCGTATTTATATAAACTCTAAAAAAATGTAGATTTAGTTCATGGGTAGCCAGCATCTTCCTGATAACAATTGTACAACGTGGCCAACTATGGTAAATATGAATATATGAGGCAATCTATGGGGATGACCTATATTCAGAAGTGGACTGTACATAGGCTGTAATGAATAAATGAATAAAAAAATTTATAATAACAATAAAACTGTCTACAAATTTATAAACAAGTGAAGCGTGCTGCTAAATGCATCAATCAGGTCAATTTTATTAATTTAGGTGCTCTTTACAACGCCAATGCAAGGCGTTAATTTTTTTTTAATAGAATTTAGGTTCATTCAGTGATTCTGTAATTATAGAATAGAGCTTTATTAACAGTGACACAACATTCTGGAGCATGCACGAGTGAGCAAACGCAAAGCTAGCAGACAGTGGAAACAACAAAGCCCTGAACACAAGCTTTACCGTAATTCGATTGAGTCATGGCCGAGGTCGGCGAGTGGCGTTTGGGCCTCGACGGAAAAGACCCGCTGTGGCTTTGCGACATTATGTCCCTGGTGCAGTCACACAACATTATTCCTTCACGTGTAACAGTATTATACAGTTAAATTGTCCCATGTTGCTCTAGGACTTAGGTACCATATTTTTAAAACGTTACCCCACACTAGGATTTTCTCCTGTATCGTGGAGGCAATTTACAATAGATAAATTGCACAAGTACAAACATCCAGACCCGGAATAATTATTTGTAGGCCAAGCAAATACTTGTTGCGTACGGGATTCGAACCCACAGCACTCAGCGCTGTAACTTATTTCTAAGGCCATTGCGCCATGGAGTCGTCGAAATTCAACTGCGTTATGTGTGCGTTATATGTGTGTGTTATAAAAAAGAATGCGTCAATTGTGTTACTTGTCTAATAAGTCGTAAAAGTCAACAAATGAGATATTAGGTCTGTGATTGTGTAGGTAGGTAATGAGCTAGCCACCTATCAATTCTTTCAAAATTTTCTATCTCAACCCAAATTTTTAGGGTTAGCTGGCCCCTCGGGGATTACATGCGTGACGCTATATGTATAAGGTAATTGCTGAGGTTTAATTTTATTTAATATCAAAAATATATCATTAATATAATGTTAAGATCAAGTTAAATATACAGCTAGGTGTACTTTATAGAAGATTCTGAAACAAATTATTACAAAGGATCATTTCTTATTACTTGACATTGGCCAAAGTACAATCGTCCGAGTCCATTACCAAAGAAAAAAAATATTTCATTGGTTGCGTACTCACGTGGGCTTGTAGTGGCGTGGCGAGGGGCGGAGCGCTAGCGAGCGTTTGCGGGCGCGGTCTGCGGCGATGAGCCCGCAGCGCTCCGCCGCCGAACTGCCGATGAACGTGTCGTGCAACGAGTAGCATGCGGCAGTGATCTGTACATTCATTATAAAATATAGTAGAACAATTTTTATTCAATACTAGCGATCCGTGTAGTGGCGGTGTAAGAATATCCACTACCCCATATCGTTCCATGTGTGTCGTAAGAGGCGACAGAGGAATAAAAATCAGGAGGGGGGCAGCAGTACCTTACTAATAATGACTAAAATAAAAAAAAAACTGTGGTACCAACCCGCTTGTCAAGCGTAGCAACTATGGCAAATATCCCCTCTATGAGGCAATTTATGGGGAAGACATATGTCCAGCAATGGACTTTAATAGGCTGTAACGGTAACTATACGATCCGCCCCAACTTCGCACGGTTGATTTCAGATTCTCGACAACAGCGCCACCTACCGGCTCCAATTAAAACTACAAACCATTCAGGGATCCGCTCAAACACACAAAATTTCACCAAAATCGGTCCCGCCGTTCTCAAGTGAAGATCTTTCATACATGCATACATAAATTATTTTATTTGCACACAGTTCATCTGATAGTAAGTGGATACTGTGGCATACACATCAACATTTATACTTCATAAAAATCAAAATGCAGATGTCTTTTCACCCCTGGACTTTGATGGAATGCCTCGTATACTATAAAAGGGTCTAAGGACCCAGTAAATATATTTTATATTACAAGTAATGATTTCTTATTTTTACGCAAATAATACATATTTATTTACTTATTCTTTATTGCATTCCTTAAAACAAAAGAATACAAAGGGCGGACTTAATGCCTTGAGGCATTCTCTACCAGTCAACCCATGGAGTGGTGAGAATTTGACGTAGGTGCGGCAATATAGAATAATATAACACTATACAAAATAATAATTAACTACATAATACATACAATTTACTAATAAATAAACTATACATATATGACGTATACAAACATATATACAAATATATACATACAAATATACATATTTAAATACATAATATATAATTAGTACATACAAATACCTATGAATATATGCGTCTGTTTAGCAATACATAACAAATGGATGAATCACGTAAAATGCGTTGTCTTCAATGGATGATTACGGACCAATTTTTTAAAAACTTACTTATTGGGTGCTTTTCTGATGTCATCGGGCAAGGAGTTCCAAAGGCGTGTAGCCTGAACTGTGAAGGAGTTGCCATAGAACTCGGTGAAGTGAACAGGAATACATATTTTGTTGTTAGAAGAAGAACGTAGAACCCTATCATGAGATGAGGAGAGGTAGTGAAATTTACCCTTAAGATAAGAAGGCGAAGATGGATCATTTAAAATGGAAAAAAGAACAAGCAATATTCTGGAATTGCGCCTCTGACGGATTGTAAGCCAATTTAGCTTAGATCTATATTGCGAAATATAGTCATACTTACGAAGCCCGAAAATAAATCTTATACAGTTGTTAAGGCGTTCCAGTTTGTTCAGAAGATCTTGGGACAGATCTGGGTAACACACATCTGCATAATCAATTATGGGTAATATGAGCGAATGGACAAGCATGATTTTACATTTTGTGGGAAGAAAATGTTTTAGACGATACAGAGACCATAAAGTGGCAATGATATTACGACTCATTTCTGAAACCTGGGTTCTCCAATTCAACGTGCTGTCGATATGTAGGCCAAGATTTTTAACAGAATTACTGAACGGAATTATAATACTATCATTATAAAAAGGAGGTAAATCTGCCAGATTAATCTTAGCTAGCATTCTTGAGCTACCCACTAGTATAGCTTGGCATTTCAAAGGATTGACCAAAACTCCATAACGAGTAGACCAATCTTTGATAGCTGATAAGTTGTCGTTAAGTTTTTTGATCCCATTATGTATATCCTCAAATTCAGCTTGCACATAAAGCTGAAGGTCATCGGCGTCCAAATGATACGAGCAGTCGAGGATGGAGGTAATAAAGTTTATGAAAATTGAAAAAAATATAGAAAGAATACCGCCTTGCGGCACACCAGCATCCACATCAGCCCAAGCTGAAGACATTTGCCCCACACAGACTGACTGCTGTCGACCGCGAAGATAAGATGCAAACCATTCCAAAGCAGTAGGACCAAAATTCAGGTGAGATAGTATGGAAAGGAGGATTTCATGATCAACTGTGTTGAAAGCATTTGAGGAATCAACTAGTACCAGTACATATTAAATGAAATTAATTGTACAGATTTCAACGTGTATAAATTTAACTTTTTAATTTTCGACGTTTCGGGCGCTTTAGAGCACCTATGGTCGTAGAGGGGATTGAGGTGTTTGACGTCCTGCTGCTGCCCACATTCTGGGTTAGTTTTCACTCACGTCATGTGATATGGAGTAGTATATTATAATCTTACACTACGACTATAAGGCAAAACGATAACTGGTTAAAAAATTAAGGTAAATCTACGAATTTTATACTTATGGTAATTTACGAAGTCGAGCGGGCTTTACTCGTGGTCGAACGATAGTATGCATGTTAACCATACCCTCTTGTGTCTTTACCACAAGTGGAGTTTTAATTTTTAGCATACCATGCTTAAATTGGATCGGATTCGAACAGCAAAATATCAAGCTTGCCAAATCTGTCATGGTCATAATATACTAAATAACAGCGGTCCCGAATATAACCCTAGTGGGAGTTTTGCATGTTTTTGACTATAATTATGAATGTGTGTTTCATGAGATGTTTGCAGTATTACCTGCTGTATTAGCCGGCGATGAAGATCTACATCAGCGCCTCGAATCCCCTCGCGGTCCTGATGCAGCTGCAGCGCACACAAAAGTGCATCTCTGATCGTCTGCACCGTGCTTTGAACCCGCTCTGTTTTCATAAGCCTCCGTACCAAGTAGCCTTTCGCGTACGCTACTATTTTAGTGGCTGCAGCTCGCTTCAATTATCCATAGGGTGTATACATAAAATTGTGTTTAAATTTATGAATTCATCAGCAAGAAGCAAAGAAAAAAAGCAACGCTGAACTGCCAGTGTCAAAATGAAGAGACACTTTTAAACAGTGGAATAATATGCACACAAGGAAAAAAAAATTAATTTCATATGGAATTTAATAAATTTAACCCTCACAATATTAATTGTTGAATATAAGATTTTCTTGTAATTCTTATGATTTAAAAAGTTATTAAGAGAAAATGAATTATGACGAACTTTACATGCTAGAAAAACACACAAAAGATACAAGCAAATTTACTATAGATAGTGTGTACTCCATACATAAAATTGTGTTTAAATTAATGAATTCATCATCAAAAAGCAAAGAAAAAAATCAACGGTGAACTGCCAGAGTCAAAATGAATAGACATTTTTAAACAGTGGAATAATATGCACACAATGAAAAAATGAATTAATATCATATGGAATTTCATAAATTTCAGCCTCACAATATTTGTTGAATATAAAATTCTGTTGAAATTCTTATGATTTAAAAAGTTATTAAGAGAAAATGCACTGTGACGAACTTTACAGACTAGAAAAACACACAAAAGGAGATACAAGCAAATTTACTATAGATAGTATATGCCAAAAAAGTGTTAAAAGGTAGTAAAATGTAGTGAATTTATTATATTTAAAAATAAATTATATTACCTCTTCAGCAGTAGGAGCATGATATAAATTCTTTCTAACGAGGCGCGCCCGCACGTCTAGTATTGAATTCTTTATAGTATCTTCCACACTTTTTATAGCACTGTCTGTAGACATGCAAGGTACTTCTTTCATTGTACCTGAGCTCTCGCGATCTGCAGACATTTCTTTACCGCACAAGTGACTCACTACATTGTCGCTATGACTAACTGGGCGGTAGTCGTCACTGTGGTCGGAAGGGAACGTGACATTTAGATCAGCCATCGTGTCGTTCGTTCGGTCGGTCAATAACAAATCATATTCACGGTCAGATGACGCACTTGTCTCATAAGTCAGTTTCCTAGACGCATTTGTATTTCTATTTTTGGGAGAATGAGTCTTAAGTACCTTAATAACCTCATCCTTACAATTGGTGGCCGTAGTTTGAGCACAATTTTCGGTGTCATTTTTCATCTGCTGCTTTTTGATGCTTCCAGTAATATCTCTGCTCTTCTTTAATACATTATCACAGCGATTAATATAACTATTTGTATCAGTCAAAGTGCTAGCTGGACTGTCATATACATTCTGTTCAAGTGGTTTATGATTTATTAACTGACTTAGACTAACTGGTCCGCGCTCAGCTGCCTCCTGGCCTTTATCAGTCCAAGCTTCTTTAATTTCACCAGGCGATTTGGGACAAATTGATTTCAGTTGTGTGTATAGTAAATTATTTTGCTCTTCGAAAACCTGTTGCAAAAGTATTTGCTCCTTTTTCTGCTTTTCGACAAGTGTTGCCATTTGAATAAGTTGCTGTTTTTGAATTCTCTCATAAAGTTCTCTAACACGTTTAGCGGGATCGTCACATTCAGAAATTAATTGAGATTTGTCTGATGCCAGTTCAGTCTTTGGAATATCCTTTGAAGCCGGAGAATGGATTATAACTTTATTATCATTTATATTTTCTGAAGGGTTACAGTTTGTTCTGATTTTCTGTATATTCTCAGATTTTGTTAAAATTTTAGAAGTTGCATTTACATGCCGATGTTTCTCGTTAACTAGTGATCTAGATCGAGGTATTGGCAGAGTTTTGGACATTTCAGACCTAGAAGTTACATGTTTCTTAGCACCCATTATTTTATTGCCTCCATTTTTTGCGGCAGTCACATTACCAGCTATATTTTTTTTCTTTAATTCCAATGCCATATTAGACCATTTAACCTTGGCTGTTTCCAAATCCCAACTTCTACGTTTTTTATTGGGCGAACTTAAGTTGGATAGTGAATCACTCATAGATATTGATGTCATTTCTACACCGGTGCTTAAAGACTGAATCTGCAAATGTGCTAGCAGCATGGGACTTGGTGTTAGTACAGTATATGATCGTTGTCTAATCAAAGGTTTACTTTGAGTTTCTTTCGAGCTTTCTTTACGAATATCGTGAAGGGAACCAGTGAAACTTTTGGAACTTAGTGAAGATGGTCCATCATTGCTTACATAATTTATAAATGAGTCTGTTGCAATATTGCTGTTGTTAATTTTGAAATTTGTCTCATACTTATTAACCTCATCATCCACATTCTTAGCTTGTAGATCAAATTTAGGTTCAAGTCCTTCTTTGAGACATTTTTCAGGTTCCTCATAATCATGTTCAGGTAAATCAGTAGCTATTTCAGACTTTGTTTTATTTTCGTGCAAGGTTTTATCATCAGTTCCTGTGAAACTTATACTTAAATCAACCATTAATTTTGATGATTTAATTATAGATGTATCTGTTAAAGGTGTCAAATTTAAAATGACCTTATCAGAATTATTGCTAGATAAACAACTGTATTTAAGAGAATTTGTTGATCTATTAATTGATTTGTCAGTATCAGTTTCAGACATTACAATTTTTTCAGTGCATATGGAATTTAATTCTACTGGTAGTTCATTATTTTGTTCTGATTCAGGAAGTTCAGGTGCCTCAGTTTTATCTGTACTTGTATCAGAATCACTACCAGAGACATAGGATTTTAGCAGTGATATTCGTTTTTCAACTTCCTTTGCAAGGAGCTTATAATACTGCATTTCTTTTCGGCATTCCTTTGACAACTGCACAAAAATATTTAATTTATTATATCTAACGAATTAATTAGTTAATTTAAGATAATAAATATTAATTTATTATTCTCTTATTACACATAATAAAGTGAGTTGATTGCTGGATCAGAACTCTGGACCCAGTCAAGGTATTAAGTCAAATATTTATTATTACTAAAATAGTTTATTTATTACTATTATTATTATTTTATAACATAATACTAGCGACCCCCCCAGCTTTGCTTTAAGTTCTATTAATGTGGCATTATTAAGACTTCATGGCTTGAATGATCACGATATTCCTGCCCACAGGCAAAATATGCGCTGAGATATGAAGATGCGGAAAATACCCCATCGTAAACTGTACTAAAAACTAGGCTTAAGATAATCAAAGACCATATAATTGATAAATTTATCGATAGCTTAAAAAATTTCCAGTTTTCACACAGACAGGAGGGATTTTTTTAAAATGGTTTTTCATGTCTTAATGGCGTGCAATAACCCCCTTTAGCTCAATAAAAGGCAGTTATTTTGAAATTACAGACAGACTTCAATTTTATTTATAAGTACTTACTATAGATTATTTAAAGATTTATAATCTATAGTGTTAAGCTTAATTGGTGCAGCTTTGCCGTGATTTAAATAGGTTTTCTTAAAATCCAGCCACATCCTTTAGTCCTGGAGAAATTATTCCATAGTAATAATCTTTTTTTATATTTATAGTCTGTAAATTATAATACTATAAAATATCCCAAAATTATAACAATAATAATAATAATTAATTATTTGTAACTGCTCTGGAGTTTTTGTTTCTGTTCGCTTTGGACCTATCCCAATAATTTGGGTCACAAATATTACTAACTCTTATTTTTGTAATTTTATAATTAATCAATTACCATAATATTGAAATTGATAAGGCATATTTCTCCACCATTTTACTATTATTTTATAAATATATAGCCCTTAAATTAAATTTTTCATGAAAATAATATTTTTACTTAAAACATTATCTAGACATAGCACTTCAACCTACTGAACAGGCATAGTACACATATGTGAACTACAGCCAAGGTCCAAATAAGCCATCTTGGAACCTACCCTGGGCAATACAAGTGTTAGCCCCTCTCTTTTTTCCACTTCCTACACGACATAAAAATACTTTTTTCTAAGACTGAAGGGTCCTTAAACAACATTGTGCCTATAAGCAGGTGTTTTCGTTTGGTTAATCGCACCCAGCCCACAGCCACACTAACCTACAGGGCCAAGGGCAATGAGATGTATTTATCATCTCATAGCATTTGACCACTTCTACATTTATGGTCACTAAAGTTATGCCATCTGTTGGGGGTGTTAAGCCATCCATCACTCAGTTTTGTTCATAGGGTGTAAGACATTACTATGTAAAATACCAGAAAAGACATGATGAATGCTATGACTATCTCCTTTCTGTAACATGTAAAGCACCCCAACCAGTGACAAGCAGCAGTATTTAAAACCACATGGTATCCCACACTCCCTGCATATCAGCAGGTCCACAGGGAGAGAGCAACTTCTAGTAAGGCCTGTCTTCCTACATGGTCTCCTTTTCTATTTGTGCACAACACAATGTAGAACACTCTGCCAACCTTGACTGATTCAGCTCTTAATAAATAATCATTAGCCTAATGGTTAAGGGTGCGGACCACAACTCACAGGTTGCAGATTCGACTCCACCATTCTGACTACTACTATCATGAACCATTCTTAACACAAACACTTTAAACTTACCCAGAGTGGTTAACAGAAATATTACTAAGTTTAGAATTGTTAGTATTTATTTAAAATAAAATTATCACAAATATTTAACATCTCTCAAGTCAACCATTTTAGTGATAAATAATTATAAAGTGTAGTGGCGGTGTAAGAATATCCACTATCCCATATCATCCCTTGGGTGTCGTAAGAAACGACAGAGGGAAAGAAATCAGGAGTTGGGCAGCACAGTCTATGTAATAATGACTAAAAATAAAATAACTGTGGTTGCCGGCCCGCTTGTGATGTGTGGCAACTATGGCAAATATCTCTCGTATAAGGCAACCCATAGATTGCTTTATACGGAAGCCTATATTCAGCAGTGGATTTTAATAGGCTGGAGCGGATCGTAAAAATTTATTATGAACAATATTGTTATAACTTACAACAGGTGGTAAGAGCGGTACTCCGTTGATCTTCATACAAGACGTATATTGACTTGATTGTCGAACGGATTTTACATCCCATGGATCGTTCATTTTTCTTGAATTACATCAAAATTTGATCTAACAACCGACCGAAGTTTCTAACACTAAAAGTTATGACTCCACAACATGAATTACCAAAACGTATTTAAAAATTGACTGATTAAATTTTTTTCCAATATCATACTGTGTAAAATCTTAACATTATTTCAAAGAGAAGAAAATTCCGCGAAACCATGCCCTGCATCAATTTCTAAGCGATGTTGTCATGGTTTGATTACGTCAGTTATATTAACCCGTCTCAGACTATAAGCAAGCAATCAAAATGTGTTCATTTTTGTTAATGGAAGACAAGTAACTACATATAATTTCACAGAATTTACATTAATTTATAAATTATTAGAAAGTAAAACTGAATTATTTGTTTTGTTTTTCAATTTTTCATTCAAGGTTCAAGATAGGGATGTGAAAAAATAATCGATTTTTATATTAATCGATTATTTTTTTCGTATAATCGATTTTTAAAAGTAGATTTTTTTTATAATAAAAATCGATTTTTAATAAATCGATTATGTAAGTTACGCGTTTTAATCGATTTTTGTAATCAGAGTCATCTGTGCGATGGATGTAAAAACGTGAAGTAAGTTCAATAACATGAATAAGTCAATCATAAAACCGCGTCATCTGTGCGACAGATGAAAAAACGCGAAGTAAGTTCACTAACATGAACAAGTCTATCAAAAGACTGCGCCATCTTTATGTATCTCTATGTATGTAAAACAGTTTCGCCTTTCGTATGTTTTCAACAGTTTTCTTCCTCCGCTAGGAGTTAAAGTAATCTGTGTTTTTCTTTCTTTCTTTGGTTAGTGTAAACAATTATATGTAAACAATAAAAATGTCTTGTAAAACGTCTAAAAGTGACTGACGGAAGTATTTTATAATGAAAAAATGATAGCGGCCAACACCTCAATAGGCAAAAATACTGAATTGGATCTATATATTGCGGTACCACTATCAAATCTCAAGGCAGATGCCCTCAATATATGGAGAAGCTCTGAAGGAACTTTCCCTAAACTAACCGAATTGGCTCTTAAACACCTCTCTGTGATGGCCAATTCCGCGCGAGCCGAAAGATTATTTTTGAAAGCGAGAAATATAGTCAGGAAAAAACGAAACCTTATTTTGGGAAAGAGACGAAGAAGAATTTTGGTGAAATGATTGTTTTTAAACTCTAACTGAAAATTCATGGCAATAATTTTTTTCACTTTTTTATTTACACTAGTTTAAAAAAAGGTTTGTCTTGTATTTTAGTTTTGAGACCAAAAGGTTGTCGTTTGATTATTTATAATTATATTTTTATTTTATTTTCATTCTACTTCAGTGTAAATGATACTGAACATTAATGGCAATAATTATTTATAGTTTTTTGTTTAAAATTAAAGTTTAAAAAAAGATTTATTATAGTTTTGAGACCAAAATGTTGTCGTTTGACTATTTAAACTTATAGTTTTATTTTATTTTCATTTTAATCCAATGTAAATGGTACTGAACATTTGTGGCACAATAATATTTAGACTTTGTTTGTTCAAACTTAGTTTAAAAAAACTATCGTTTACTATCGCTTCTTAATGATATCTTATATTTACGCGAAGACTACACATTAAATGAAACTAATTTTTACGGATTTTATCGCGATTAATATAACTTTTTAATTCCCGACGTTTTGGGTGCTTCACAGCACCCATGGTCACGGGGGGGGGCTGAGGTGTTCGACGTCCCGATGTCATAGTTTGCCTAGCTACCTTCAGTTTTTGAATATTAATTTTTGGTCCGATCAACGCAGAATGAGCTTACAGTATCTTGAAGTCTTACAGTGGTATGCTTGGGTTTGGATTTCATTTCATTAATTACAGGATGCCAAGCAGACGCCAGCACCCATGCATCTTCTCTATTGAAATTAGGATGTTTTTTAATTTCAATAGCCTCGCGAATCATCCTTGGTAGGAATCGGAGTTCTTTTGCGAGGATTTGTGGTTCAACTGTGACATAGGGACGTCAATCACCTCAGTCCCCCCTGTGACCATGCGTGCTGTAAAGCACCCGAAACGTCGGGAATTAAAAAGTTAAATTAAACGCGATAAAATCCGTAAAAATTAGTTTCATTTATGGTTTATTTTTATTTTGGTTCTATTAAATTGTTAAATGACAATGAACATTTGTGGCAGTAATTATTTTTAGTTTTTTATTGTTTAAAGTTATAGGTTAAAAAAATGTTCTGTAGTTTAGTTTTATCACCAGAAGATTGTCCTTCTGATTATGTTTTTTTTAATATAGGATAAGGGTGACAAACGAGCATACAGTCCACCTGATGGTAAGTGGTTGCTGCGGCCCATAAACATCTACATCTATCTTGAATTACGAATCAAAATGCAGATGCGTTGTCACCCGTGAGGACTAAGATGGAGTGCCTCGTTTCCAGTAAAAAGGGTCTCCGGTTCTCTACACTCACCATACGAAAAGCAAAAGAAAAGCAAAAAGATAGTTAATTGTCAACAAAAAGTGTATAATCACTAGATTTAATAGATGGGACTTCCTTAGTATAAGTATGTAAAAGTAAATGTATGAAAGACCGCTAAGCTACTTTGCCAACATAAAGACATGACATGTGATTCCCCCCCCCCCTCCCTACCCCAGCCTACGAATTTTTTTATAGGATATGGGTGAGAAACGAGCACACAGTCCACCCAAAGAGTATAGTAACTGTCCTATACAGGAAGTGGAAGTGATTTTTTAATAGAATAAGGGTGGCAAACGAGCACACTGTCCACCTGATGGTAAGTGGTTGCTGTGGCCCATAGACGTCTGCATTTATCCTCGATTACGAATCAAAATGCAGATGCGTTGTCACCCGTGAATACTAAGATGGAGTGCTTTGTTTCCAGTAAAAAGGGTCTCCGGTTCTCTACACTCACCATACGAAACACAGCAGCGTTCAGCTGCTATTTCACGCTGCTATTCTGTGAGAGCGTGGTCCTTCCCCGGTCGAGCCGACCCATTCGTTCTACAACCATAATGTAGCTGCAGCATGGCTCTACCACGTGACTTTTATACTTATCATTTTATTTGATTTTTATTCTGATAAATTGTTGATACTATACTCTCGTAGTTTTATTAATATATAGGAAAGCAGGCATTTTTTCGAATAAAATAATTTTTTCGCAAAAATCGATTATTTTTTTAATAAAAATCGATTTTTCCTAAATCGATTATTATCACAAAGCAAAAAATCGATTTTTTAATAATCGATTTTTTTCACTCAATGTTACATCCGTAGTTCAAGATCAAAACAGTGAGTTTTTTTTAAGATTTTTGTCTTGGATGCTTGTCTTTTAAGCTTTAACATATTGTGAAGTAGTGTACTATAAACACTGACCTCTAATACCGCGTTTAGAATCTCGCCTCGCGCCTCGCCTCGTACCTCGCCTCGCAGCTCGCGTGTTGTTGCGAGGTAACGAGTGCCTGTTTACACTCTCGCGACAGCGTTGCCATTTTAGTGATTTTGTCTCTAGATTTAATGAATTTTTGGAGATAGATAGTGATATTCTGAAAAAGAAAATCACTAAAAAATTATTTGATGACTTTTAGTGATATTTATCAAATCTTGAAGAATTTACAAAATACATATTAGCAACCCTCTTTACCTGTTGGTAAATTCCCCAATTTATGTCAAAATAGCACTATCCTTTTCTAACATTACAAAAACGTAATTAGACATCTTTGTTTGGTTATGCTAAGCCTTCCTTGGACTTTTCCTGACTAATAATGAGGACCTAATACGTATGTAAAGTTGGTTTCAGTGAGTGCTGAATACTGAAAGGTTAGGTAAAAAACTTAATAGGAATCGGAGTAGATGCCTCTGTCATGACTGGAATCAATAATGGCGTACGCGTACCTAATTAAATACTAGTCAGATGTGTTTCCCACTCATGCACTCATTCACACTCTGAAATAACGACATGGCTTAAAAGATCATCATCCAAGCGGAGAAGGAAAATGGTGAGGAGAAGTCCTCACCTGAGGAGGGCTGATAAGAGCATGAGGTGGTCAGCGCTGGTAGAGCAGCGGATGTGTGCGATAACGTTTCCGTGGCCCTGCCAATATGCAGCGAAGGTGAAACACCGTTGGGTTTTAGTCGGTGCAAGTCTGACACAAGCCGTCCTTGATTCCGCGAGGCGAGGCAGTTGCGTAGGCATTTCCCCATGTAAAAAGTTATTCTCCTCCCCCCACAAACGAGTTGCCGTCTTGTTGTGGTGGAGGGTTTATATAAATGTTAAAGACTCGCTGCTCGCGGTGCAATAAAATCGAGAAACAGGACGCCACCTATTTCCTCATTTGGCAGCGAGTCTTTAGCATTAGTATGCATATTATTAGCCGCGACTTGGTCACACACGGTGCACAAAGAGGAGCACACATTTGGCAGAACCAAGGTGTACTCCGAGTGGGCGCATTGGTGGACTGTGGTGGGAGGGGTGACCTCTTCCCTTTTCCGCTGCAGTCGAGGTGGAGTCGTAGGGGGAGAGGAGTGTCGATATTTCGAGGCGCCACGCTCCTTACTCTCTGCGACTGAAACTTAGATGGTGGTGGAGCCATATCAGTTCCCGCCGGGGTCAAGATGGCTAGTACTTCTGAGTGCTTAAATTTCTTGGCTCCATGGCTACCGCGTACCGTCCTAGGGGGGAGGGGGGGCTCACCTAAGTATCCCATTAACACCGTATACTGGGTTTTGGAGGAATGCATCGCTCTAGATATCCTTATACACTTCTTCCACCTCTTCATCGTGACATGCCGTAAGCCTGTATGATCGTCAACGAATGCCGTTTAGGCCTTTTGAGTATAAGATACACAAACGCAACCTTATATGTGGACGATAAATGCAACCCACCAGCCATGTCTTTACCATGTATAAATATGTTTGTCATAGTTACCACGCTTGGCAAGTGGGTTGGCAACCGCAATTTTTACTGTAGGTTTTTTGTTATCAGATATGTGCTGCT